ATGCCTTGCGTTGAGAACTAGGACTAGTGTTGAAGTGCCCGAAAGGCTTGTTGGATACAGGAATGTTCTCAGATATCGTACTGCACAAGCCTTTCAGGCACGTTTGTGAATCTTCACGTTTGTGAGCAGTGAGTGCGGGCACTGACAATTCGTTTCACTCACTGTGCCTCTAGGGGGATCACGTTTCACTCTCTTCCCGATTTCTTGTTTTCCCCTCAACATTCTATTTCGCCCCAACTCACCTTGTTCTCCCTTCTGCTCATCTTGTTTTCTTCCCAACTCAATCCCATCCTGGGCCCACCACCCACCTGCTCAGATAGTGCACAAGTACGGCATCACGTTTGTGAGCAGTGCGGGCAACGACGGGCCGGCGCTGTCAACAGTGACAGCACCGGGCGGCACGACGTCATCCATCATTGGCATTGGCGCGTTTGTGTCGCCGTCCCTCGCCGCCTCCTCCCACCTCACTCTCGACGCCCTGCCCGATGGCCAGCAGTACACCTGGTGCGCGCTGGGGGGAAGGGATGGATAGGGGATGGGCAGGGGATGGGCGGGGGATGGGCGGGATAGTGGCCTGGGGGTGGGTGGGGGTTGCCCAACCTCCATTCACCCTCCACACGACCACGTGTGTTTTTGCAGGTCGAGCAGAGGCCCGACTCCGGACTGGCATGAGGGTGTGAGCGTGAGTGCACCACGCGCGCGGCACCATTGCCCTTTAAGAACGTTTCCCCCCATTCCCTCCCCACCCTCCACTTTTTCCCCCCCTCACCCCCCACAACCGCATGTTCCTCCCCTGCAGGTCGAGCAGAGGTCCGACCCCAGACGGGCATGAGGGTGTGAGTGTGAGTGCGCCAGGGGACGCCATGGTGGCTCAAGAACAGTCCCCTCTCCCATCCCCTCCCCACCCTCCCCTCACCCCCCACGACCGCATGTTTCCTTGCAGGTCGAGCAGAGGTCCGACCCCAGACGGGCACGAGGGTGTGAGTGTGAGTGCGCCAGGGGGCGCCATGGCTCCTCAAAAGCAGTCCCGCCATTCCGTCCCTACCCTCCCTCCCTCCCTCCCATGCAAACGGCCTCTTCCCCTGCAGGTCGAGCAGAGGGCCCACTCCGGACGGGCATGAGGGCGTGAGTGTGAGTGCGCCAGGGGGCGCCATGGCACCAGTGCCCACAGCACACCTGCAGTCGCGCATGCTCATGGCCGGCACCTCCATGGCCTCTCCCAACGCCGCTGGAGGCGTGGCTCTGCTTGTCTCCGCTCTTAAGGTACTTGTGGCAAATCAAGGTCATAATGCCAGCCTGCCTGGTGCTTCACTTGGCGCCCACGGCCCAGGGCCCTACCTGCAGTCGCGCATGCTCATGGCCGGCATCTCCATGGCCTCTCCCAACGCCGCTGGAGGCGTGGCTCTGCTGATCTCCGCCCTCAAGGTACGTATGGGCTCTCAAGTCAAGGTGAAGGGCTTGGGGTTTGCGATTTGGCTTTCAGGTTTTCGGGGCTGTTTTTTGGTTCCGGTAGGGTTTGGCTTTGGGTGCTTCAAGGTTTGGGGTTTGAGGTTTTGGGAACAGGCTGGTGAGGGATGAGCTTCAGTCAATGTAGGCTGGCTGATATTTTTGCTTCTCTTGCTGGGGCAAACTGTTGGCAGGTTGTGCGAATCCCCACCCCATTCCTTCTCTCCTTTCCATCCCTCTGTTGATGGCAGCAAGACATGGGTGAAGTGAAGCTGGGTGGGTCCCATGCTGGACCCATACGGCACATGCTAGAGCTCACAGCACATCCACTTCTTCCCCCCCCCTCCCCCTCCTCCCCCTCCTCCCCACCCACCTGGCCCGCAGCATGACATGCGCGTGGCAAAGCCAGGGCCGCATGCCATACGGCGCGCGCTGGAGGTGACAGCACAGCCACTCCTTGAAGCAATGCCACTTTAACCCTCCCACACGGCACGTCCGCCCCCTCCTTCCTCCCCACCCGCCCACGGCAGCAAGACATGGGCGTGACGAAGCCAGGGCCGCATGCCATGCAGCATTCACTGAAGGTGACAGCACAGCCACTCTCTGAAGTGAAACCTCTCTAACCCCTCCCACGCTGCATGTCCCGCCCGCCTCCACCTTCCCTCCTTCCTCCCCCCCACCCGCCCACGGCAGCAAGACATGGGCGTGGCGAAGCCAGGGCCGCATGCCATACGGCGAGCGCTGGAGGTGACAGCACAGGATCTGGCGGGGGAGAACCAAGCCCTGGCGCTCACCCATGGCCGGGGGCTCGTGCAGATCGACAGGTGCGTGCCCTGGTGGGGTGGCTCATGGGGGAAAGGGGAGGATATGGGTGTAGGGGATGGGTTTCACAGAAGAGTGGGATAGATGTGAAAAGCCTGGGCTGGGGTGGGGAGAACCAAGCCCTGGCGCTCACGCATGGCAGGGGGCTCGTGCAGATTGATAGGTGCGTGGCATGGTGGCTCTGGGGAGGGAAGAGGGATGGGGAAGGGAGGATTTGGGCAAGTGGGTTCAGCTTGCAGGGTTGCCGAGGGGAGTATCAAGCCAAGGGTGACACGTTTTACCCAACGCAGGGGGCTCGTGCAGATTGATAGGTGCGTGGCCTGGTGGCTCTGGGGAGGGAAGAGGGATGGGGAAGGGAGGATTTGTGCAAGTGGGTTCAGCTTGCAGGGTTGCCCAGGGGAGTATCAAGCCAAGGGTGGCATGTTTTAACCCAACGCAGGGGCTCGTGCAGATTGATAGGTGCATGCTGTGGTGCCCTGAGTCAGATATCAGCATGTGTGAATTTATGTATGGATGTGTATGTGTATATGTGTGTGTCTGTAAGTATGCATACACCTCTTCTAATGTGTGTGGGTGTGTGTATGTGTGTGTTTGTGCGCACGTGTGCGTGTGCGTGTGTGTATGTGCATGCGTTCGTGTGTGTGTGTGTGTGTGTGTGTGTGCGTGTGCGTGCGTGTGTGTGTGTGTGTGTGTGTGTGGTGTGTGTGTGTGTGTGTGTGTGTGCGTGCGTGTGTGTGTGTGCATGGGTGCGTACCTTGTTGAATGCATGCATCCACCACAGGGCATTCGAGTACCTGTGTCGTCACCCTGCATCGTCTCTCGAGCTCACCTCTGACATTCGCTACTCAGTGCTCGTCAAAGCAGCGTCAGGAGCAGGTGAGACACACAAGGGGGGGGTATGAGCAGGTGAGCCAGAGGGGGATATGAGCAAGTGAGAGCCAGAGGGGGGGCAATTGAGTCAATTGAAAAATCTGGTCAAAGCAGCGTCAGGAGCAGGTGAGAGACATGGGGGCTAAGAGCAGGGAAAATACGGTAATACAGGGGCTCGACTCGATACAGGGGTTTGCCTCTTAACACTAGTTTGCCATGCTGCAGTTTTCGAAACCTTTTATTCTTTTCTTCCCGTGCTCTTTTCTTCTTTCACTTGTCTCACTCCTCTCACTCCTCCACTCCCTGCACTGCTACTTCTCAAGGAGTGTTTTGAGACATCTCAAAGCGTTGCACTGCTTCTTCTCAAGGAGTGTTTTGAGAGATCTTAAAGCGTTGCACTGCTACCTCTCCTTGCAACCTTCGCCTCCCCTGTCCTGTCCTGGCCCCTCGTCCCCGCGTTTCTTGTCTCTGCACATCACCCCCTTCGCATCACATTGGCCAGGGGGTTCTCGTCGAGGCATCTACATCAGGGAACCAGGGGAAGCCGCTGCTCCTTCAGAGGTGCCTTCTCTTCTTCTCTCCTCTTTCTTCCTTCTTTCCGTTTACTCTAGTCGCCTCTGGTCATCTCTGCAAGTATCTCCTGTATATTTGTCAAACCCCAATTCACCTCGCTGCCTTGCCTCAATAAGTTTTTCAACCCACGGCCGTGTGTGTGCATGCGCATGTGAATGTGAATGTGTATGTGCGTATGCATGTGCGTGCATGTGTGCGTGCGTGCTTATGTGCATGATCTACAGTGGCAAGTATTCGTGGATCCCTGGTTCCATGAGGACGCGGACAACCTGACCGTGAAGGCACTCTTTGAGTGCACACTCAAGCTCGTGCCCACCGCTGACTGGGTCAAGGCACCTGACCTGCTTCTTCTCCCCAACAACGGCCGCAACTTCTAGTCAGTGCTGCGCTGCCTCTCCTCTCATCTCCTCATGTCTTGGTTGGCGTGCTGTGGTTTGTTATTCGATATCTGTTGTTCGATTTCAGTTATCCAATTTCTTTTGAGCTGTAATGTGCTGTCACTTGATCCATGCATCTCCATCTCATTTTCTCATCTCCCAAACGCTTGTCTTCATGTCATCTTTCCTCCATTTCCTCATCTTCTCCTCATCTCCTCTACTCCCTCACACCTCTCCTCACACCTCTCTTTCTCCCACCCCTTTCCGCCCACCAGTGTGCGAGTTGACCCTTCCTCGCTCCTCCTGGCCTGCACTACGCTGAGCTGCGTGCCATAGACACAGCCAACGAGCGGCAGGGGTCACTCTTTCAGGCAAATCACATAACACCACACCTCTCTCTCGCACGCCCCTTTCCCCAATCAGTGTGCGGGTGGACCCTTCCTCGCTCCTCCCTGTCTGCACTACGCTGAGCTGCGTGCCATAGACAACAGCCAACGAGTGGCAGGGGTCACTCTTTCAGGCAACTCACAAAGCACTTCTCCCCACCTTCTTTGCTCCCTCACGCCCCCTCGCCCCCACCAGTGTGCGGGTGGATCCCTCATCACTCCCTCCCGGTCTGCACTACGCTGAGCTACGTGCCATAGACACGGCCAACGAGTGGCAGGGGGCGCTCTTCCGTGTGCCCATCACGGTCGTTAAGCCCCTCATGCTGCCCAACCCAGCACTCCCCCACCGCTCCTCCCCTTCGGCATGCTGCAACCAGGTGGTCACTGTCTGCTGCTGTTCCCGCCACAGCTGCCGCCGCCGCTGCTGCCGCTGCTGCTCCTCATTGTGATGCCTCTCTGCCGTCATCCACATGCTGCAACAGATCCCCCTCCCTTTTCCTCTACCCTTCCCGCCACTCGTCTCTCCATGATCCCTTTTGCCAGCTCACGTCCCCCGTTCTCGTCCTCGTTTCTCTCTCACACTCCCCATCCACCTTCCCTCATCACTCCCATCTCCTCCTCTCTCCCTCCTCCCCTACCATCTTCTCCCTCGCGCCTCTCCCACCCCAGGAGACGTGCATCGCACGTTCATCACTGTCCCACACATGCAGTCCGCATGGGCGGAGATCCACCTGCACCTTTCCGCCTTCAACCGTGCCTCTCACTCACCGTCGTCATTCACAACGCTGCAGCTGCTGCCACAGATCCTCCTCCGCTCTGTTCTCCTCCATTCCATACCCCTTCCACCAAATTCTCTGCCGATGCGCCTATCTCCAGCTCACCTCCTGGTTTTTGAGAATTCTCAAAACCAACTCGTATTTTTTAGAATTCTCAAAAACCAACTCGTATTTTTGAGAATTCTAAAAAACCATTCCATACCCTTCCACCCACTTCTCTGCCGATGCGCCTATCTCCAGCTCACCTCCTTCTCTCACACACACTCCTCTCCCGCATTCCCTCTACCCCTCCCATCTTCCCCTCCAGGAGACGTGCATCGCACGTTCATCACAGTCCCACACGGGTCCGCATGGGCGGAGATCCACCTACACCTCTCCGCCTTCACCGTCCCGCTCACCGTCGTCATTCACACGCTGCAGCTGCTCCCAGCCCGCCGCCCCACGTACCGGCGCACGCGGGCCTTCTACCAGTTCACAGCGCCCTCCTCCAAGTCCCTCTCGATCCTCGTGGAAGGAGGGGGCACGCTGGAGGTTGCGGTGGGCTTGAACTGGTTTTGTGGGCGGGGTGCTGAGCCTCCCCCACAGGCTGACCTAGAGGTAAGGTTGTCGTGAAGAGGGATGGGGGGGGGGGGGGGTGAGCGGGAAACGGGAGTGGAGAGCAGGGGAAAGGAGCGAGCGTGGGTTTTGCTGGGTTGGGTTTGGTTGGGTTCGGTTGGGTTCGGTTGGGTTGGTTGCTTTGGATTGGTGGTCTGGAAGGTGGCACGTTGAGCTGAGCTTGACTGTCATTCAGTCATTTTCTCTCCTGCTGCTGACTGCTCTTCATCCGTCTCTCGCATTTTTCCCCTGACCCATCCCTCGTCCCCTGCCCTCCCCGCACCCTCCCCCCTCCCTCCAACCTCTCCCTCCACCCCCACCTGAGCCTGTCCTCTCTCCTCCCTTCCTTTTCTAGTTCCTCTGTCTGCAGTCGCCGTTCCTCCTGCTCCTTAACCTCCGGCCCATTCTTCAACTTAACTCTGCCCACCTCGGCAGCTTTCACAGCCTAGGAGACCTAATTCCTTGCTGATGCATGGTATGGCATTTGCTTGCATTCCATGGCACATGGGATGGTTTGTGGGATGGCATCACATGGCATGGCACTGGATTTAATGGCGCGGCATGTCATGCATGGCACTGCATTGCATGGCATGGAATTGGATGGGATGGGATGGCATGGCATGGCATGGCATGGCACGGCACGGCACGGCACGGCACGGCACGGCACGGCACGGCACGGCACGGCACGGCACGGCACTGCACTGCACTGCTTTGCACGGCATGACATGGCACGGTATGGCATGGTATGGGTTGATTTGGCATGGCATGTTTGAGCTGCCAGGTGGACTTTCATGGGTTGACGCCAGTGCATGGCGATGTGACCATCAACGGGGGCTCCAACGTGCAACGCATTGACATCACGTCGGCTCCCTTCCGCATGGAGCGATTCACCCCCACTGTCTCCCTCAACAGAGTACGCTCTCTCTCTCTGCCCTCTTTTTCCTCTTCACCTGTTCTCCTGTTGTCCCCGCCCTCTCTTTTTCTTCTATTTTTGGCTTCCACCCACCTTCCCGTCCTCCTGCCCCCCCTTCCTTGCTTCCCAATTCTACCCTGCCCATCTCCTCTTGCTCCGTTGTTTTGTGTTCCCCACCCACTGTTGCACATTTCATAACTCCTCTTGCTCTCTTCCCCGTTCCTCCATTCTAGTCTGTAACACTTCACACCGTCCCTTCGCACCATCCTCCCATCCCATCTCCCTCCCCTTTTCCAACTCCTCCGCCCCTTCTCTTGGGGTCACTGCACAACTCATGACATAGTGACAGTATCAGCTGCAATCAACTTACTGCCTGAGGGAAAACAAAAAACCCTTTCCCACCTTCCCCCCTCCCCCTCCCTCTTTTCTCCTCCTCCCCCCCTCTCCCTCTCCTTCTCCCCCTCCTCTCCCCTCCCTCTCCTTCTCCCCGTCCCCCTCCCTCTCCTTCTCCCCCTCCCCCTCCCTCTCCTTCTCCCCCTCCCCCTCCCTCTCCTTCTCCCCGTCCCCCTCCCTCTCCTTCTCCCCCTCCCCCTCCCTCTCCTTCTCCCCGTCCCCCCCTCTCTCCCCTCCTCTCCCCCTCCCCCTCCCTATCCTTCTCCCCGTCCCCCTCCCTCTCCTTCTCTCCCTCCCCCTCCCTCTCCTTCTCCCCTTCCCCCTCCTCCCCCCATCGTGCCACGGTGTCTGGCAGGTGCGGTCGGCTTATCGCCCATCTGAGGCGAAAGTGGAGCCACTCTCGTCCCCAGAGACATGCTTCCGGATGGCAGGCAAATCCAGGCGCTCAATATCACGTACGTGTGCACACACAGCAGCACTTACCTCTTTTTGAGTCGACTCAAAAAAGATGGCAGGCAGATTTAGGCACTCAATATCACGTACGTGTGGGCACACACACAGCACGCAGCACGTACCTCCCAGTTATCATGCACGTGTGAGTCTACCTTGTGAGTCGACTCATAAAGTTAGACTTGGTGATTCCTGCATAGACTGCATCTGAGGCTGTCCCTTAGTGTGCAGCGACTGCAGTACCTTTAGTCTCTACTCTCTCTCTCCCCTGCCCTCCCACAATTTCCCCTCTCCTCCTCGCTCTTCACTCTGCTTCCCACGCGCCTTCCCCCCTTCCTTTCCGTTGCCCCGCCCCTCTCAATCCTTCTCCCGCTCCCGCGCCCCCCCCTTCTCCTCCCCTCCCCGCCCGCTTCCCACCCCCACTCTCCCACAACCCCCCACAGCTACAAGTTTTCTATATCAGAATCGGGCCGCTACACCCCTCGTCTCCCCCTCCTGAACCAGCGACTGTACGACAGCGAGGTGGAGGGGCAGTTCTTCCAGCTGTTCGACTCGCACCGGCGCCTGCTGGCCTGCGAGGACGCCTACCCCAAGCCCGTGAAGCTGGGCAAGGGCGAGTTCACGGTGAAGCTGCAGATCCGCGGCGACCAGGTGGGGCGGCTGGAGAAGCTCAAGACCATGCCGCTGCTGCTGGATAGGACGCTGGACGACAAGGTGAGCGGGAGAGAGGGAGCGGGAGGGGCAGGGGGGCGGGGGGAGGGAAGGGAGGGGAGGGGAAGGGTAGGACAGGAGGTAAGGGTTCGAGGGGAGAAGCTCAAGACCATGCCGCTGCTGCTGGATAGGACGCTGGAGGATAAGGTGAGCGGGTGGGGGTGGGAGGGGAGAGGGGGGAGAGGGGGAGGGGAGGGGAGGGGAGGGGAGGGGAGGGGAGGGAACTGGAAGAGGAGGAGATACTTTCTGGTCAACTTAAATATGGTTTGCTGCTACTGCTCATGTTCAAAGTTAAGATGGAAGTTGAATTTGATTCTCTAACACCCCCCTCTTTTGAACTCCTTACACTGTCTGGTCAATCAGTGCTGAAAACAGGCGTGCACTATTCAGCCCACAGTGCATCTTGCTGAGTAGTGCAATGCCTCCAGACATTTCATCGCTTCTCTCCCAGCTCCCTATCCCTCCCTCCCTCCCTCCCTCCCTCCCTCCCTCCCTCCCTCCCTCCCTCCCTCCCTCCCTCCCTCCCTCCCTCCCTCCCTCCTCCTTCCCTCTCTCCCTCCCTCCCTCCCTCCCTCCCTCCCTCCCTCCCTCCCTCCCTCCCTCCCTCCCTCCCTCCTCCTCGCCTCCCTCCCTCCCTCCCTCCCTCCCTCCCTCCTCCCCTCCCCCCCTCCCTCCCTCCCCCCTCCCTCCCCTCCCTCCTCCCTCCCTCCCTCCCTCCCTCCCTCCCTCCCCCTCCCTCCCTCCCTCCCTCCCTCCCTCCCTCTCCTCCCTCCCTCCCTCCCTCCTCCTTCCCTCCCTCCCTCCCCCCCCTCCCCCCCTCCCTCCCCCCCTCCCTCCCTCCCTCCCTCCCTCCCTCCCTCCCTCCCTCCCTTCCTCGCCCCCCTCCATTCGCAGTCGGCGCTGAAGCTAGGCGTGTACAACTCAGCAGACAGTGCCATCTTTGCTGGCAGCGCAAACTCTTCATATTCGCCGCAATCAATTTCCACCCCTCCCAACTGCCTCGCTGCCTTCCCCTCGTGCGTCCCCAGTCGGCGCTGAAGCTAGGCGTGTACAACTCAGCGGACAGTGCCATCTTTGCCGGCAGCGACACGGTCAAGAACGCGCTCATGGCTCCCAAGTGAGTTCTGACGCACCACAGATGGACAACATGTGCAGCACCTCAGTAGACACAGCTAAGAATGCCTTTGTGGCCCGCAGGTTAGCTGCCCTTCAGATGGGATGAGGTGCTGCAAACGTTGCCCATCTGCGGGCCACAAAGGCATTCTCAACGAGGTGACTTTTGAGTCGACTCAAAATTCACTGCGGGCCACAAAGGCATTCTCAGCTAAGAATGCCTTCATGGCCCGCAGGCTAGCTGCCCTTGAAATGGGATGAAGGAGGGCAGGCTTTTTCCTATTTTGTTTCCCTTTTTTTCCCTTTCTTTCCCCTCTTTTCCCCCCTTTTTTTCCCCGTCTTTCCATCTCTGTTCTTGGGGGCCGTGCTTAGCTCTTTGCTGGTTTGTCTTGGGTCGTTGATCCCTTTCAACTTGTCATTGCTGTACGATCACACGATCTCTGTTTTCCCTCCATTACGGTTCCTGTATGTGCGTGTGTGATCGTATATGTGTATGTGATCGCATGTGTATGTGTGTATGTGTATGTGTACATGTGTGTGCGCTCATGTGCACATGCGAAATCGTGTGTGTGTGTGTGTGTGTGGTTGCAGTGAGAAGCGAGCCTTTTTCATTTCAGGCCCTGGTGACCTTCCAAAGGTGCCTCAACTCTCCCTCTCCCTCTCCCTCGCTCGCTTCCTCCGCCTTTCCTCTCTCACTCCCTCACACTCCTCTCTTGCTCCCTTACACTGCGCTCCTTCTCACTGTCTTCCCTCCACACCCTCGCAAAGAGTACTTGCAGATATTCATTCCCCTGTGCAAGTACTCTTTGCATCTTTCCGAGTACTCCTTTGCCTCTCTTTTCCGCCATCTCATTTCTTCTCCTTCACATGCCTTTCCTCACCCGCACTCCTCCCCTCTCTCCTCTTGCTCCTGATCTCTCTTCCCCGCTGACCTACCATCCCGTCAGGACGCGACACCTGGCACGCTGCTACTGGGCCGCATGACTCTCGCCAAGACCGGGGGCCTGTTTGTCAACACGGACGCCAATGCTGCTGCGCCGTGCCGCGTGCATGTCACCTACGTGGTTCCGCCTCCCAACAAGGTGCGTGGTGTGCGCGGGGCCAGGGAGTGACTGGTGTGCAGGAGGTACGAGTTGCCTGTTTTTATCTGCATCCTGCTCTGATCCTGTCTGGCATCCTGCTCTGCATCCTGCTCTTGCATCCTGCTATCATGTGGCATGTTTCAATCTAATTTAGTGCCTTTCTAGTTCGACCTGCACTGGGCATACGGGCCATGGTCATGCTTAACCAGCACTGCACTGCATCACACTGCACTGCACTGTACTGCACTGCATGTTACTGCCTGCAGCACACCATCCCCATCACCCCTCTCTGCATTCCCTAGCAGCAATTCCTTCAACTCCCCACCCCCCCGTCACCCACCACAGCTTGTGATAACAACTTCCGAAGCACCTCAAGAAGCTTGTGCTTTCCGTCTTCCCCCTCTCCCACCTATTCCCATTTCCCCTTCCTCCCTCCTCACCGACACCACCAGAGTGACGATAAGAAGTCGTCCTCTTCCTCCGGTTCTGCTCCTCCCACTAAAACGACCGCCGAGAGAATGCAAGAGGAGGTAAGGCGCCGTCCTGTCCACTCGTCGCGCCTCTTTCAGACCCCCCTCCTCGATCTTCACAAATGCTTTTCAGCTCCACTCTTCATCGCCTCGTTGCCTCCATTCCCCTCAATTCTTCCCTTTCCTGTGCCACAGTGCCACTGTTCCTTAATCCCTCATGATTAAGCTCTAGCACCGCAACCCCTAAACCCTGAAGCCTTACCCCCTACCCCTGGCAGTTGCGCGATGCCAAGGTGAAGGTGCTGGCAGCGGCGGCAGCCACAGAGGAGGAGGACCCAATCCCGCACCCCTGACAATCCACAACGCCTCAAACCTTACCCTCTACCCCCACACCCCTCACTATCCCCCATCCTGGCAGCTGCGGGACGCCAAGGTGAAGGTGCTGGCAGTGGCGGCAGCAGAGGAGGATGCAATCCTGCACTCCCATCAATCCGCAACTCCTGAAACTTTACCCTCTATTTCCGATCCATCCGTGACTATCCCCAACCCTGCAACCCTTACAGCTGCGCGATGCCAAGGTGAAGGTGCTGGCAGCAGTAGCGGCAGAGGAGCGGGACAAGGCGAAGGGCGAGGGCGAGTTTGTGGCGCTGGTGCAGCAACTCAAGGCACGCTCAACCCACCTGAGGCGCCTCCTTGCCATCCTTCTCCACCTCCTTCCGGTCCCCCTTAGACCACTCTTCTCTTCCTCACCATCTCTCTGTTCCTCTCTCTCGTGTGCTCTAACTAGCCCTGTCTGCTTCTCTGTGTGACTTTCCATCCTCCTCCATCTCCTTCTGTTTTCCTTCCTTGGACCTTTCATCTCTTCTCTCTTTTTCTCTGTTCCTCTCTGCCTCTCTCGTCGTCGCTTTTCCACTCGTCCTTTTCTCTCTGTATTCCTCTGTTTCTGTCTTTTCATGCCTCGCTCTTGTAGTCTATTCCTTTTTCCCGAGAACACTGTGTTGTTTTTCATGCATTGATGTTACTTTAGGGCTATTCTAGCCCTTTCTCTGTGAGACGACTTTTGAGACGTCTCAAAAGTAGGGCTATTCTAGCCCTTTCTCTGTGTGCTCAATATGTCATACCACTTCTGGCGGGTCACAAAAGTTATCAATCTTTTCAGCCTTCCCTCTGACTGCAAACACTATCCTTCTCTTACAACAGCAGGCTGTGATTACCTCTTTGTTTCATCCATCCTTCTCATCTGATCATAATTCCTTTCCTGCCTGCTTATCGCCCTCCATCCTCTCCCATCTTCGTTGCTCCAAGTCCCGCTCTCCGTTCCCTGGCCCTGGCTAATTACCCCCGTACCTCCCATCCTCCCATCTTCCGTTTCTTCCCGCTCGCCTCTGCATGCGCCCGTGTGCCCATGGCTCCAGGAGGAGTATCCGAATCATCTGCCTCTGCTGCTGGAAGTGCTTCGTTTCTATGATGATCCCAAGATGCGACCCACATCCCTGCTCAAGGTACGCCCCTCCCTGGTAAAGTTATGCCCCTTTTTGCTCAAGATGCGCCCTTTGCACACCTACTGCCGGTCTGCCTGTACCATCATAGATGCAGCATTGACCAGTTTTGACCAGCTTTGACCCGCTTTGACCACGCCAGCTCCTCTCAACCCATCCGTCCCTTCCCCCCCACTCTACCCAATCTGTTTCTGAATCTACATACAGCCACCTCTCACGTGTTCCTGTATGTCTCTACATGCACTTAGCATGCCCTCTAAGCTCACTGCCTTCCGCTCGTACTCCTCTCCCCTACCTTTCTCCTCCATCTCTCTCTGTCGTTTTTGCCCATAACAGGTGGTGGAGGCAGCGGTTGCAGTGGTGTGGCCAGCATTGTCCGCACCAACTCCAACCCCCCCCCTCTCCCGCCTCCCTCTCTTGCCCTCCTCCCTCCCCCACCCTCGCCTTTCCCCGTGTCAGGTGGTGGAAGCAGCAGACGCAGTGGTGGCCAGCATTGATCGCACGGCTCTGGCTGTTTTCCTGGCCATGAAGTGCGAGCCCGAGGGACCAAACGCACAGGTGGGTGTGATTGAGCTCTTGTTTCATTCCTGTTCTGTTTTATGCGCCAGAAACATCCTCTTCCACCTCCTTCCCACCCCCCCCCCCCCTTCTCTTTTTGAGTGAGCTCAAAACATACACTCTCTTGAGCTCCTGTTCCATTCCTGTTCTGTCATATGCGCCGGTGTGCCGTTGTGTGGTGCCCACTGCCCATCAACAGGCGGAGAAGGAGGAGGAGTAGAAGACGGATGCTTCACAAGTCACCCCCCTCCCCATACCCCCGGTTGCACATGGCATGTGCCGTTGTGCGGCGGGCGACAACAGGCGGAGAAGAAGGAGAAGGAGGCACAGAGGGATGCTCTGATAGAGGCGTTGCACAAGTCACACCATTCTCCCTCTCCTCCTCTCCGCCCTGGTCACACATGGCACGTGTTGTTGTGTGCGGTGGCCATTAACAGGCGGAGAAGAAGGAGAAGGAGGCACAGAGGGACGCTCTGGTAGAGCGCACAACGACAATGACATCACTCTCCTCCCCACCCCCACTTCGGTCACATCAACAGGCGGAGAAGAAGGAGAAGGAGGCACAGAGGGACGCTCTGGTAGAGGCGCTGCACAAGAAGGCGCTTGCTCTCGGTGACCTGCAGTCGCCCTTCTCTGCCGCTCCCTCTGCTGTGAGTCATATGCCGCCGTTTTGTTTCTTCTTTTTTCTTTTTCAATTCACCTTTTTTTTCCTCATTGAATCTGTTTTCCATTCCTTTCGCGCTTCACGCTTGCTGCAATTTTTTATCACCTCTCCTCCAACGTCATTCATCTTCCCCTACCCCACTCCAACACACAAGCACAGTTCCTTTCATGCTCTCATGCCCTTCCCTCCCATCTTTCCCATCGTTCAGACTTTAGAGTCGACTCAAAAGTCTACCCTTCCCTCCGATCTTTCTCATCGCTCTCATCCTTCCCTATTCATCCCCTCTTATCCCTCTCTTTCTCCCCTTGCACCCACCTCCATTGGCCACGCTCGCAACCACCACAGCCATCATCAGAGTCACCAGCAGCAGCTGGCATTCCAGAAACTTCCTCTCTCACTGCCACTGAAGCAGCACCAGCACCACCATCGCCCGCTGATGCTCCTTCAGCTGCTGCTCCAGCCGCTCTTGATCCGTTACCTGATGCCCCAGCAGCAGCTGCAGCAGCAGGAGGTGCAGGGGTCAGTGAACCAGACTCTGGTGCCCCGACCCCGGCAGGTGTAGCAGCAGCAATAGAAGCGTTAGAAGGGGGAACTGCACCAGCAGCAACAGGGGAAGCAGGGGCAGGGGCAGCAGCAGCAGGTGCAGGTGATGGTGGTGCGTCCACCAGTGGTGGTGGTGGTGGTTCAAGTGGAGGTGGCGGTGGTAATGGTGATGTGTTTGAGGAGACATACGCGGAGCTGCGCAAGTGGGCAGACGTGTCTCAGTCCAAGTACGGCATGCTGGGCATCATGAGGGAACGACGCGCCAACCGCCCCGCACTCGCACTCAAGGTATGCGGAGGAGAAGTGCTAGACGGCGTGGGGAAAGGGGGAGAGAATGGTGGGTTTAAGAGGGAGAAATGGAGGGTGGGGTGGCATGGGTGGAAAGGACTGTTCTTTCTAGTAGGCTTGGAAGCTTGGAAAGGAGGGGAGACTGGTTTTTTTTTCTCTTCCTGATCTTTCCATATGAAAAGCGAAGTCTCACTGTGCATTCCCTGCTCACATCTTGGCAATTCAAGGCAGCTTGCATGGTCATTGCCCATGCAACCCTCTTTTTCCCTCACTGTCTCCCCTGTTCCTCATTAGAATCTCAACAAGGTGCTGGAGGATGATCCGAAGCAGGCGGACAAGAAGATGCATGAGCTCAGGGTTACTCACCTGTCATTGCCCATGCATTCCTCATCCCAACCCCGTTTGCCCCTCTTTTCCCCTCTTCACCCCCTCATCACACTCTCATCAGATTCTCAACAAGGTGCTGGAGGATGATCCGAAGCAGGCGGACAAGAAGATGCATGAGCTCAAGGCGAGCCGCCTTGCCATTCCTCATGCATCCCTTTTCCCCTCTCCGCCCCCCCTTCTTTCCTGCGTTCTCCACCCTTCCGCCTGTGCATCAGATTCCCAACAAGGTGCTGGAGGATGATCCGAAGCAGGCAGACAAGAAGATGCACGAGCTCAGGGTTACTTACCTGTGATTGCCCATGCATTCCTCATCCCCACCCCATTCCCCCCTCTTTTCCTCCCTCATCACTCTCATCAGATCCTCAACAAGGTGCTGGAGGATGATCCGAAGCAGGCAGACAAGAAGATGCACGAGCTCAGGGTTACTTACCTGTGATTGCCCATGCATTCCTCATCCCCACCCCATTCCCCCCTCTTTTCCTCCCTCATCACTCTCATCAGATCCTCAACAAGGTGCTGGAGGATGATCCGAAGCAGGCGGACAAGAAGATGCATGAGCTCAAGGTGACACTGCTGCAGCAGCTGCAATGGCCGCTGTGGGCCGTGCACGAGAAGCGCTGGAACACCGCGCGCTTCCCCACGCACTGGGCCCCCTTCTGAATCGTTCTGGACCGGTTCTGAATCGTTCTGAACTGAATCCTTCCGGATATTCTTTTGCGTCGCAAACCACGCCGCTGTGAAATGGGTGATGATGAATCAGGGAGGGGACTGGCAGTGGTCTAGGGTGCCTCGCTGCATACCAGCATCGCATTTTACTTTCTGTAAAACCGCGCTGTACGACATTGAACTTCGTGGCCTCGATTTTTTCCCCGTGCAGTTTCATGGGGGGGGGGGATGCAGACGCAGAGTAATCACTACCGTACCTATCCCATATGTGTCTTCAAATGAAATGGTTGTTACTGGAGTTGGAATGCCTAGTCGCTAATCCAAAACTCTGTCGGAAACAATAAAACTTAAGCGCTTCAGTCGTGTCGAAAACACCGCATCAGAAGCGAGGCAAACTACACCGAAGCACCCGCGAGTCAACCCTCGGGGGTTGAAGAGGTTGCTGGAGGTTACGCGAAAGTCAAAGGTCAGCAACCTTTGACCCGACAAGTACAGCGCGACTGTTAAGGACATACAACTGACTCGTTACAGAGCAGTTGCCCGAGTCGTACTGTATCGAACCGCAACAGCAACAGTAAAAGTAGTTATAACTGTATCCTTTGATATTCCTTGCACTACTATATATTCTTGTACTTTCCTGTTATAATTAATCTACTTTGCCCTCACATACTAGCGCAAGGTGGTTCACAATTTCTTCACTGAAAGCTTCCGCTATTACAATTGTTCTATCTAGAATTCTCCCCTGAAAAGATCCTAAGGGGCTATCTCAGCCCAACATGGTATGAGAGCAGTCAGGGGAAACTCTACCACTTCCAAATCAAAGACATTACAAGACATGGCAACAAACAAGGAGAGGAGCTCTTCTAATGGCTCCCCAAGCACTACTCCTACACCACCTCCTGCCTCTGGCCTGCAGACAGAGGAAGGCACGGCAACAAGACCTAGGGGAACGTCCACCGAGACTCTCACAAATCGCCCCACGGGCTTTGACCAGAGCATGATGGAGAAGTTTTTCTCCTTCATGTCCTTCTACGAGCAGCACCAGCAGTCGGGACCTGCACAGACACACAACAGCAACAACGGAGTGACGCCCATGAGCCTTGATGGGTCGTCATACGCGCGCGGAAATCAACAGCAGCAACCTACCTTCGCCCCGTACGAACGCGGGTCAATCAGCTTCATGCCGCAGTCTTCGCCTGCACAAGACAAATCACTGGACGCGTTACAAGTACAGTCGCAATTCGCACACGTTTTGAAGCTTCAAACGTCAAGACCATTCGACGGAAAGGACTTCTTCACCTGGTCCTTTGAGTTCGAGTTGATGATGGAGGGCGCGCAGATACTTGGCTTCTTCGACGGGTCCCTGCAATACCCAGCAAACGGCACACAGTATGAGAAGCAGCAGTACACGTATCAATCGATGATGGCGTATACGATCCTACTGAGGAACTTAACACCAACCCAACAGCAGAACATTCGGTCCTACCGGGCCTTCGGCAACTCGGCGGAACTCGCGTACAACCATCTGAAGAACCTGTACCAAGCAACAGACAGTGTAAATCAGAGCAGGTTAATGGCGCAGCTGACAACAGTTGAGATGAAACCAGGAGAGAAAGGAATGGCATATATCAGTCGATGTCGCGAACTGCGCGACAAGCTTCTTCGATGTGGAGGATCAATCTCTGAGGACGCCTTCGTGACGGTCATCATCGGTGGCCTCGGTCCTCAGTGGCGCGCAACAAAGGCCATCCTCCGAGCCCACGGACGAATTTCTGAGGCAGCACTCTGCGCCGAAATCCACGCCGAACAGCAGGACATGGATCTGCAAGAAGAACGACACAGAAAGAAGACGACAACGTCAGAGTTCGCATTTCACACCCAACGACGACACAACAACTACAGCAACAGACAACAACAGCCGAAGCCAGTACCTCCCTTCTGTCACATCTGCAAGACTTCAGGGCACCCGCGCACGCACTGCCCGAATCGTCAACAGTCAACGACCCCGCAACGACACCTTCGACCTTCAAGCAGTCAAATTGCGTCAACGCAAGCGAATCCAACGACCCAGATCCAAGCTTCAACGACCTCAACGGGACAACCTGCGCAAGGAGCAAGAAACATCGTTAGCTGCATGGCAAGACTGAGTGACTCTTGCGTCATGGATTCACCACCTCATTACTCACCGGAAGAACAACTCGACAACACCACACCTCGTCGCGAAGCACTTCAACCAAATCCGACATACGCTGCCATCGCCCAAAACGAGCCATCCGGAAAAGACACGTGGTTCTTGGACAGTTGCTGCGGACAACACATGTGTTCTTCAGGACGCTTCGTGCAGAGAGAGTATCAGCTTCAACGAGAGGTCGTCATCACCGTCGCCAATAATCAAAACCTGTACACACGACGACAAGGAATTGTACAACTTCAGTCACGGGAGACAAACGTCATCCTACAAATGTCCAAGGTTTTAATTGCAGAAGGCCTCGGATACAACCTTCTCAGTGTGAGTCAGTTGATGGCGAAAGGCATCCACCTCGAAGCAGACAGCACTACCCAAGAGTTCAAGTTGTACCACGGGAGAGGAGGTCTTTACATCGGGAAGGCAATCCTTAAAAACAACGTCTTCGTCTTGGACTTCGTTCCTGATCTCGGCACCGCTGACAGTGACGCCATAGTCAACTTTACCAACTGGACACACCCTCCGGATCTTGACCCCGACTTCAGTCCAGGCGGCTTCTGGTACTCACACACCGTCCCTGAGACAGAACGAACAAGGGCATTAGCGACAATTCAACAATCGGCAGCAGCAGAGACAACGTCGGCAGCAGCAGAGACAACGTCGGCAGCAGTAGAAACATCATCGGCAGCAACAGCGACAACGACGACACCAGTCGCCGGTCCTTCAACGACGGCGTTCCTCAACGACGATGCACCACCAACACCTGCACAACAGCTCCAGCCAGCACCACGAGAATTTCATCACAGTCCCAGCTTCACCGCTGGTCTCTTCTCCAACTCCGACATGTATCGGCGCTCACCCGGTCATCGCGCCAACGAAGAAATCTGGCACGCAAGAATGGGACACCCAAGCAACACTGTGTTAAACAACACGATTCGAGCAGGAGTACTCGACAAGGACTCTTTACTTTTAACAGACGGACGAGAACTTCAACGAGCACGAGGGACATGCTTCACCTGTCCTGAAGCTGACTTACCGCATCAACCCTTCGTCTCGCATCACAATCCAAGCGCACCCGCATATGCACCACTCGAGAAAGTGTACAGCGACATCTTGTACAACCGCGAACCCGGACAAAACGCGTATAACTACACCATCACCTTCATCGACGCCGCCACACGTTACGTCTGGCACCTAAACTTACCAAGTCGCGACATGGCTTTCGAAGCTTTCGTGGCATGGCTTCCAGCAGCAGAACGGGAATCGGGAGCTAAACTCAAAAGTTTTCAATCAGACGGAGGAGGAGAATACTCGTCACAGCGATTCAAGCAGTACCTGGCGGAGAAGGGAATCAAGAGACTCATCTCCCTTCCCTACGCCCATCAACAGCAGGGTGTAGCAGAAAGGATGAACAGGACTCTGCAGAACACCATGCGCAAACTGTTACGTGGCATGCGGCTACCCAACCACCAGTGGCCCGAAGCAATGGACCATGCCGTGATGCTGCACAACTTGCTTTCTTCGTCGTCACTCCCGAACAACACATCACCGCATCTGCTGTGGACAGGAAAACTGGGCAGCACAAAAATGTTACGAGTCTTCGGCTGCATGGTACAGTACCGACCCCCATCTGCACGAGCCGGCCGATTCTCCCAACGCGCACAGTGGGGACTACACCTGGGCATCGAAAAACATTACAACGCATGGAAGATCTTCGATATCAACAGCAAGGAAACAGTAGCAGCACGTGACGTGATTTTCTACGAACGACTCACGCTGCCAACGTACCTTGCCAACCTGGACGAAAATCGAGACCCCACAGGCGGCTTCCGTGGCGATCGAGCCTTCGCTTCGGCAGAAGACGAAGCTGACTGGGACGAGCAGAATGTGGAAGGAGCCTCGGAAGAAGCCGGACCTCTTCCCTACTGCTCAGTGGACGTACCGATGGACGAAGAAAACCCTCGCGAAAGCGTCAACGCCGAAACTTACTACCACTTCGCCGACAACGGTTACGTTACACCTGCTGAAGTCAACACCAACGAAGCAGAACGCATAGGGCCCAACTTCGCACCCGATCCAGAAACTGGAGACGAGGCAGTCTATCCCGAGGACACCACACTCCCCCGCTACACACAGAGCGGACTCCAAATCCTTGGTCTCGTCACCGCGGTCCACGGCGTCAACATTCCTAAGGAGCCTGCGACAGTTCAGCAGGCTCTGGGGGGGGAGCATAAGGAAAAATGGCGCGAAGCCATGGACAAGGAGCTGAAGGCATTAGAGGAACGCAACACCTGGAAAGTCGTTCCCATCGGCGTAGCGCGAAACAAGACCATTCTTACCGGGAAATGGGTCTTCCGTGTGAAGACGAAGGCCGACGGCACCATCGACAAGTTCAAAGCGCGTTGGGTCGTTCGCGGCTTCGACCAGGAACATGGACGAGACTTCACTGAAACCTTCGCTCCGGTCAGCCGCCACACTTCACTTCGAATTCTTCTCGCCATCGCCGCTATGAAGAAAAAGAAACTGCGCCAAATCGACGTCGCAAACGCATTTCTCTACGCACCGGTCGATGCAGAGATTTTCGTGGAACTACCGCACGGCTCCAACACAAATTCCACGCACGTCTGCCAGCTACTAAAATCGCTCTACGGGATCAAACAGGCGCCGCGACTGTGGCAACAGTACCTGCATACTCGCCTCATCCGCATCGGCTTCAAACAACTCCCGCACGATCAGGGCATGTACCGCCTCACGAAGAACAGCGACTACATTCTTCTAATCGTCTATGTGGACGATCTCCTCTACATCGGCTCTACCGACGGCATCACCACCTGGTTCGAAGGGGAGCTGCAGAAGGACCTCACCCTCACTGTCTCATCTACCGTCACACAGTATCTCGGACTTAACATTCGAGAAGATAACGACGCGATCTACCTCAGCGCCGAAAAGTACGCCGACACCATCGCCAAACGATTCGGAATTACGCCAGCCGCGATCTCAACACCATACCGCTACACGACAGGAGCCGATAAGGAATCTGCCCCACTTAAGCCCGCCGGCATACGCGACTATCAGAGGAAGCTAGGTTGCCTCCTCTTCGCAGCCGTCACTTGCCGACCCGACCTATCCTACTCCGCAAGCCAGCTCGCCACTCATCTCAAGAAGCCTGAAGCAGAACACCTGGCGGAACTTGACCGCGCTCTGCACTACTTTATCAGCACCGCAATGATCGGCCTAACTTATCACAAGAACGCAGCTACACCAACCGGGCTAATTGGCTACGTCGATGCCGATCACGCCGGCGACACTGACAACAGGCGCTCACGCACCGGCTATGTCTACCGCCTCGAGCCTATCGGTCCTATCTCCTGGCAGTCGAGCAAGCAGGAGTTAATTGCACTATCTTCAGCCGAAGCAGAATATATCGCGCTCTGCTCAGCCACCAAGGAGGGACTTTACCTTCGCGAGCTGCTGGAAGAAGCGAAGTTAGCCGAGTTACCCAACTTCACCGTGTTCTGCGACAACCAGTCAGCAATTCGTATCGCCAACAAGAACGGCTTCGCGAACAGGACGAAACACATCGCCCTGCGTTACTTCTTCGTAAAGGACGAGATCGAGAAGGGGAGACTCGAGCTGTCATACTGCCCCACATCCGAGATGGCAGCTGACTACTTGACCAAGAAACTCGGAAAGCAAAAGTTCGAGTATTGCATGCTGCTGACTGGACAGAGCCACGTCACCAGCAGCGACACTCCAGAAGCGAAGGGGAGTGTTGGAAACAATAAAACTTAAGCGCTTCAGTCGTGTCGAAAACACCGCATCAGAAGCGAGGCAAACTACACCGAAGCACCCGCGAGTCAACCCTCGGGGGTTGAAGAGGTTGCTGGAGGTTACGCGAAAGTCAAAGGTCAGCAACCTTTGACCCGACAAGTACAGCGCGACTGTTAAGGACATACAACTGACTCGTTACAGAGCAGTTGCCCGAGTCGTACTGTATCGAACCGCAACAGCAACAGTAAAAGTAGTTATAACTGTATCCTTTGATATTCCTTGCACTACTATATATTCTTGTACTTTCCTGTTATAATTAATCTACTTTGCCCTCACATACTAGCGCAAGGTGGTTCACAATTTCTTCACTGAAAGCTTCCGCTATTACAATTGTTCTATCTAGAATTCTCCCCTGAAAAGATCCTAAGGGGCTATCTCAGCCCAACAAACTCAAGGGTGACGAGATGAGGACATGCACAATAAGACTTACTAGGTGCAAGATTGGTTCTCACCTCCATTGGCTCTCACCTCATGCCACTACTGAGGGCCAAGGTGAGGATGTGGGCGGGGGAAGAGCGGGAGGGGGTGATTGTGGATGGGTTGTTTGTGGCAAGATTGTCAGGTAAAGTAGCAGAAGCATAGAGACACTCTAACAGTGCAGTGCAGAGAATTATTGTGGTGCAGTGTGTGTGCCATGGCACAAGCATGCCACAATACAATTATCCACATGTTAGCAGATTGAGCAAAGTTCCAGTAGCAACGTTTAGCATGAGATGCACCGAGCCATTTCCACAGCATCTAAGCACTACTGTATTTCCCCTCCATATACACCCCACTATAAAGGACTAGGGTCCAGCTGCAACCCGTACATATTCGCAACACCTGGGGCTTCGATCTCGTTCTCGCCACACTCTGAAAAGGACAACTTTTGAAGCATCTTGAGCTGGGTGAAATCCACAGGCAGAGAGGTCAGCTGCTTGCACCCATCCAGACTAAGCTCCTTCAGCCGGCTCACCTGTCCGAACTGGCAAGGCAAGAAGCGTATGGGCGTGAAGCGGAGGTTCACCTCATGCAGGCAGGAAAGCTGCGTGAGAGAAGCAGGGAGCTCGGTCAGCGATGAGCAGTTTTCAAGATTCAGCTGCCGCAGCCGAGACAACGCCCCAATGCCGTCCGGGAGAGAGGGAAGCTTCGGTGCATGGATCTCAACGGACGTCAGGGATTGAAGCTCAGTGAAACTGTCCGTCAGGTCCGTTAGATCTACTGCCCGATGTATCTCCAACCGCCTCAGCTGCCGCAAGGCCGAACCTAACCCTTCCGGAAGCTTCTTCATGCGTCCAGTGCTGTGAATTGTCAAGCTGCGGAGGTTGGAAAGAACCTCCAGAGGCAAAGGGAGCTCCTCTGCCTCTCCAATCAACCTCAGCTCTAATTCCTCCAGACAAGAGAGCATCATCACGCCGGCTGCCAGCCCCCGCATGAGCCCAACACTAGTCAAGCTCAGCTTCCTCAGCCTAGGCAGAGAAGGGATTTCCAGCAGAGGGGTGAGCCGCAGGAAGCTTCCTATGGAGAGAATCTCGAGGGAGCAGGGTAGGGATTTCGATAATTGAGCTACCTGGGGGAGCTTGGCTAGAGCCAGTTCTTTCAGCCTTGCAAGGTTGCTCAAGGTGGTGGGGATTGAAGCAAGGCTGTCACAGTCCACGGCTTTCAGCACGTTCAGGTTGACAAGGTCAGTGAGAGAATCAGGAAGGGTTTCAATCTTAGAGCAGGATTGGATCGTCAACTCTCGCAGATTACTCAGCTTCCCCAGGTCTTCTGGAAGTTCTGTGATCATACACTGAATGAGATCGAGCCTTGTGAGGGAGGATAGCTGCGTGAACGAGGATGGAAGCAGCTGCTGGGGGAAATTCTCTGCTAGACGGAGAGTGTGGAGATTGGTGAGTGCGCCTATGTCGTCTGGGAGTTTCATGTACGGGGTGTTGAGGATGCAGAGGGAGTTGAGTGCGGTGAGGAAACCGAACCTGTCAGGCAGCGCGAAGAGTGCATTGCAGTAAGACAAATTTAGGGTTTCCAGAGAAGTAAGCTGGTAGAATGAATCTGGGAGAGTCGAGATTGGCAGGAAGTTCAGCGTCAGCACTTTCACAGCGGGCAGCTCTCCAAAGTTTTCGGGCAGTTTGACCATGTTGCACGACGAAATCGTCAGCTCACGCAGGCAGCTTAGGGAAGCGAACTGCTCGGGCAGCTCGGAAAGATTCTCGCATCGGCGAATGCTCAGGTACCGGAGGCGCGGCAACCGCTCTCCTATGTCGTCAGGAAGACGGTCCAGATTGTCAGAGTCATTAAGAAGCAGCCGCTCGAGACGGCTACACGAAACTCCCGACGGAAACATCAACTCGAATCGCGGACTGTTCGCGTCGAACTCCACGGATTTCAGAGACGGCAGCTGGTCGAATGGAAAGGGGTGCGAACCGTCGCCTTCGAGCTTCAGCCATGTCTCGTCGAACAACGCGAGCGTGGTGAACGCCGGAAGATGCGCGAGGCTCGCGAGATTAAAATCTTCCGGTTCTGGAATGTCGACGGAGAGGGCGGTGAGAGAAGACAATTTCGTGAATCCTGGAGCCTCGAGAGGCGATCCTTCAGTGAGAGCGAGCGTGCGTAAATTCGTGAGGAGAGAGAGCGAATCAGGCAGCCTGCCGTATCGATGCAGGCAGTAGAGCGAGAGGTGCTGCAGCTGAGTGCAGCGACGCAGGAACCGGTCCAGACCGGCTTTGGTCACGGGATGCTCGTCCTCACGCTCCCAGTCCCACCTCGGCGCGATACCTTTCCCCACGTGCAGCGACACTAGTTTCGGGCATGCCGACGCGATGAAACCGAGGAACGCGTTGTTGATTGTCTCCGCGCTGTTCTCGCCGAGGTGCAGATAAGAGAGGTTCGGGAAGCAGTTGATCGCAGCGGTGAGATCTCGAAGCGACACGACGATGTTTTCCTTCACGACAAGCATTGAAACCTGACGGCGAGCCAGGCGGCGCCAGCGCTGGCAAACGGACGCAATGAGGAGGTTATAGGCTGGATCTGTCAGAACGGTGGGCGCTGACAATGGCGTGATACTATCAGAAGTTGTCGTAGTAGTATACACGACGTTCTGCTGCACGGAGGAAGGGTCCGGATTAAGTTCGCTGTGCTCGTCGCCGTACGGGCTTTCGGGGGAGTACCTCGGTCGAGGCAAGATGGAAACCAATCGATGAGTCATGCCGGTTTTGGATTGGCAACGAATCGGGACTTCTTTTTTGGAGTGCCAGAAGATGTAAATGAGGAGGTCGTCTGACAGGTTGTCGAAGTAGGAGGGAGCCATGGGATATGAACTATTAGACTAACTGGTCATGTAATTCTGGACAATGTCTTCGGGGAGAACGCGATTCGCCGAAGGTTTACAGGGTCCAACTATCTTGCTCCGTATACAGGTTTACAGGTTTACTAGTATGTCTGATGATGCAATGCATGTCTTGTATGCTGTGTTCTGTGTGTTCCTTGTGCGAACATTTTCAAACCTCCAACTGGGTGACGGGAATGGAAGACTGGGTGAAAGGGAAGAGCTGAAGAAATGGGTGCAGCGCAACAGCATGACGCTGGACAGGGAGCGTGCGAAGGAAAACAAAACGCGATCCGAGATTTGAACCAGCTTCGTGCCATTGCGGCTTCCACAGACTCGACACGAACAGTCATGGTACAAGACCACGACATTGTGAGGTGTGCAATTGAGACATCCAGAGAGGATTCCATTGCACTTTTTTTCTAACAAACTAAGAACATGGATGAAAGGCACGAGCAAACATTCAAACATGAAACTTCGGTACTAGTAATTTTCAAAATGTCGGTGTCCTAGTGTCAATGCTTACTGTACGTTATCACACTAAACGGTTGTCATCCTAACTGGTTCTGGTGGCACTTGTCTTCACCTTCATTGGTTTTCGCCTCCAGTTCCGGAAGTACCGCACCATACTTGGCAATTACGGGGCTAAGATGGGTTGGAGAGAAGGGGGCTCTTCCGGGGTGGTGGTGTTGAAGGGTGTACCACTTTCTGGAATGTTACAGCGAGGCCAAGTTACAGCGAAGCATCAACTCAGGTAACGTGCAAGTGCAACTACAGCCTTCCATCCAATTCATGCTCCTCCTTCCAAACCATATCCCCGCACCGCACTAGAGTCGTTGTCCACTGCCCCTGGTCCAATCAGAGTGCTTTAAAGCATCCGCAAGCGTGGCTAGCACTGAAAATGCCTAACCCATTCACAAGCCATGCAAGTCGAGGGCTATCCACGAGCCTGCTTCTGACGCGCCTCAAAACCATCCACTAGCCATGGGAGCCGTAGAGGGCTATGAGCCTCTCTGCTTCCCTGATTCCCGACAGGTACGCCCCATGCGTGTTGGAGTAGTGATGCCTCTCCGTGGCCTCTCCTGCAAACAGCACCTGCAGCTGCACCGCTGCTTCTGCTTCTGCTTCTGCTCCCGCTGCTGCTGCTGTTGCATCTGCTTCAGCTTCTGCTGCTGCTGCTCCACCAGGAGCAGGCAGAGCCATAATGTTCAAGTCCTCCCCAGATCCCCCAGGAGGCACAAACGAGTACGACCCTCGGAACAGAGGGTTCGACCCCCACTGCGTGCGCAGCCCAGCCACAGCCTCCGGAAGCCGTGAGGCGGTTTCTTTCGGGAGGAAATGCCGGATAACATTGCAGAGCGTGCGGTTGAAGTGAGGAGGCGTGGGGGAGGTGGTGGCGGTGGTTGTCAGATGAGCTGATACACCCTCATCACCAGCAGCAGCACCAGCAGCGCCCTCAGCAGAATCAGCTTGTGCCGTCCACCCGTTGGCAGCCTTGCCGCCATTACAGGTGCTTGCGCCATTCTCACGCTCACACTGGCTCTCCCCTGTCCTCTCTTCCCCGTCCCACGACTCCATGTCGTAAGCCTCTTTCCCTGCTATCCACGCCAGCACCACTCGCGACTGCGCGTTGACCGGGTGAAAGGAGAAGAGCTTGCGAGTCCACGCAGGGAAGCGGGCCAAGGCATCAGCAGCATTCCCAGCAGCATTCGCATCAGCACTAGAATCAGCTTGGGCAGCATCTGAGTCCCACCAGGGCCCAGGCCAGTGTGTTGGAGGAGTGAGGGGTTGTTCCAGCACATCCCACACTATCTCCAGCTCTGCTGTGTCCTCTCCAAATACTGCTGGCTGCGTCATGGAGGTGGGCGACAGGCAGGGATAGGGAAAAGGTTAGGACAGAGATTGGGGAAAGAGAAAGCTGGAATAAAGAAAATATCAGCTTTGACTGAGGCAAAAATGCTTGCAGCCAATGGGAAAAGGGAGGAGGTGATAGGAGAGGAGAGACAGAAGGTTGGGAAACGAGACAGTTGTGCTGGCGAGGCTTAAATAACGATTTACGTGGCTCACTTTCATATTTTATATATGTTCTTGGTATCCATACCTCTGGGAATTCCAAAAACACTTTATCAGCCACTCCGAATCCGAGCCGCCGAATGGCCCCAAGTTTCGTCTCGGGCAGAGGCGGGCAGAAAAGGTTCCGCTCGGGCAGGGAATCGGCGTCCTTCCCAGCAGCTCTCTCCTTAAGCACGCCCAGTGACACTGTTACAATCACATGGTCCGCGTAGATCTTCTCTCCTCCCTCTAACACGACACACACCGGCTTTCCCTTCCTGCTCCTCCTGCTGCTCCTCCTGCTGCTCCTCCTGCTGCTCCTCCTGCTGCTCCTCCTGCTGCTCCTCCTGCTGCTCTTACTGCTGCTCCTCCTGCCGCTACTGCTGACCCTGCATGTACTTCCTCTCGGTCGCCTCCCAAGCACGAAGTAAGAGGGGTCCAATGAATCTGTGACACCGGGAGTTGAGCCGGATGGTGCCAGCAGGGAGGCTCGATGCTAGATGCTCCACAATGCAGGAGTAGCTGGGGAGAAGGGTACGGGGGAAGAGAGGCAGGGGATGAGAGGAGGGAGGGGGGGTATGGCGTGTGGGGGGATTTAGTGGGGAGAGAAGGGGTGGCATACCAAGCAACAGGTAAGAGGGGTCCAGTGAATCTGGCCGGATGGAGGGAAGAACGACACAATACTGCTTAGCCATGGCCACGTGCGTGGGTCCCCGAGCACCTCTCATAAGAAACATTCGAAGGACTCTTAAGAAGCAGCATATCCCTTAGCAGCTGTGACATCCACCCTCCAAACTTCTTCTACCCAGCAAGACATATCTCAGAGCATTCAGGCACATACAACTCAGAAACAAGACAAATCTCAAAAATTTCAGGCACATACACCACATACACCTTGGGTATCGTAAAAAAAAGAACGTACCCCTGGGCGATGGTGACATGCGGGCCGCCAAACTCCTCGTATTCACCGAAGTAGCGCAGGGAGAGTTGGTGAGTGGAGTGGCATGCACTGATGGTGCACTCCAGCCGCTCCCTCTGCTGCCACACTGCTGCCCTCGCCCTCACTTCCTCTGACGCCCACTCCACTGCTGGAGCCTGCTTGCTGCTGCTCCCAGCTGCTGCTGCTGCTTCTGGTGCAGCTGCTTCCGGTTCTGCTGGTGCTGGTGCTGATGGTGGTAATGGTGCTGATGCAGTGACTGCTGGTTCAGTCGCTTTTGTGGGCGTGGTAGCAGCAGCAACGGAGGGACCGGCACTAGCACTGGCAGGTTCAAGGGGTTGAAGACAGAGCCATCGAAGCAGGGAGGGAGGGGAGGGGGAGAGAGAGAGGGGAGGGGAGGGGAGGGGAGGGAGAGATGAGAGAGGGAGAGGGGAGAGAAGAAGAGGTGAGAGAAGGAGAGTGCGAGTCACCTGGCAGAGTCTTGAAAGACGATAACTGAATTTCCAGCATTGCATAGCACTGTGTATTCTTCAAGCGTCGTCACAAAAAAAAAAAAAGAGCAAACAAACAAACAAACAAACAAAGAAAACAAACCGGAGAGGTGAGTGATAGTCACCTGGTAGAGTCTTGAAAGGCAATAGCTGAGTGGCCAGCATTGCACAGCGCTGTGGCTCCAGTCCAGTCATCCTCCCACCTGTCCTCGTCGTCATCGCTGTCACTGCCATTATCGCCATTAATGCCCATGCTGCCATTCTGCACATGTTGCTGCTGCTGCTGCTGCTCCGGGGTGGTTTCCTGGTGGATCCATCCTTGTTGGGCCAGGTATTGCAGCATGCCCTCGTGAATGTACTGCCCCACACTCTCATCAATCGTCACCTGTTAGGGATGTGTGGCGCGCGGAGAGGCATAGGGAGAGTATGAAGAGAGCATGGAGAGAGCGAGGAGAGAGAGAGCAGGGAAAGAGCAATCTCTCTCAACCCTTCACCTCCACAGGTTGCGTCCACAACTCACTAACCCTACTCCCCTTCGCCACCACACTCTGCGTTCACTAAACAACATACTCTCGGACTGACCCCTTACCACTTGAGCAAGAGACGAAATTGTCTCAATTTGGACTCACCCAAACATCAGACTCTCAGTCTGACCCCTTACCTCTCTTCCAGTCTTGTCCACAAATCGCGCCTGCTGCTGCTTCCCTTTCCCCACCCGCGACCCCACCAGTTGCGCCTCCCTCAGAAGCCGCCTGAACACGCGTTTCACCTCCTTCACCATGCCCGCATCCACTTCCCCCCCGCCCTCCCTCCTCCACCGATTCACCCCCTTCCACAGCCTTTCCTGCCCCTGCCCCTTTCCAGGCGCCCCCACACCCCCCTGTATCGTCCCATTCGCCTTCCTGCGCCCAGAACTAGGGCATTGCATGAGGCCTTGCTCCTGTGCGATAGCGTAGAGCGGGCTGCCATGAATGCCGTGGATCCAATTCGCGCCCAGCTGGTGACCATGGTGGAGGGGGGGAGGAGTGGGGGGAAAACGACGGGGAAGGAAGAGAGGAGTTTTGAGGTTTCTCAAAAATCATGGAGCGGGCTGCTGTGAATGCCGTGAAACCAATATACGCCCAACTGGTGGCCTAGGGACGCCCAGCAACCAGCTACGGCAAGTGGGTCAAGGGTATGTACGACGAATGGATCTACCGCGAGTTTCCCATTGATTTCGACAGGACGCCGAAAACATAGACGGGGAGTTACAACTGTAACAACGAGTAACTTACCATAGCAAGTCGACTTCCCGGATGCCAAGTCAACGGAGGTTACTTGCGGTTACCCAAGCCGCTTGAACCAACGCGGATGCGAATCAATAGGTCCAGATGCATGCAGGTTCAACCAAAGGGGCGCACGCAGGATCAACCGACATGGAATCCGCACTCGTTCAAGCAGCTTGGGCAATTGCAAATAACCTTCGTTGACTCGGCACTCGGGAAATTGACTCGCTATGGCATGTCACTCGTTGTTACAGATGTAACTCCCGCCGTCTATGCTTTCGGCGTCCCGTCGAAATCATTTGGGAACTCGCGGTAGATTCATTCGTCATACATACCCTTGACCCACTTGCCGTAGCTGGTTGCCGGACATCTCTGGGCGTTGAGTAGGACTTCTCCTTTCTCGACATGTTAATTGAAGGGGACTTAATCGACAGCAAGGGGGGGACGAGGGAGGGAGGAAGGAGGGAGGAGGGAGGGAGGAGGGGGAAAGAGGGGGAGGAGGGGGGAGGGGGGGAGGGGGGAGGGGGGGGGAGGAGGGGGGGAGGAGGGGGGAGGAGGAGGGAGGAGGGGGGGAGGAGGGGGGGAGGAGGGGGGAGGAGGGGGGGAGGAGGGGGGAGGAGGGGGGGAGGAGGGGGGAGGAGGGGGGAGGAGGGGGGGAGGAGGGGGGAGGAGGGGGGGAGGTGGGGAGGAGGGGGGGATTAGGAGGGGAGAATGATGGTGAAGGAGGAGAGGAGTTTTGAGATTTCTTAAAAATCGTAGAGGAGGCTTTTGTGGATGCCGTGGATGTAATATACGCCCAGCTAGATGGTGGTGGAAAGAGACGTATCGGGGGTGAGGGGCAGAGGGGGAGAAAGAGGGAGACAGTGGGGGGAGGGGGCGAGAAGGGGGAATAGGGTGCGAGAGAGATGGTGCAAGAGAGACGGTGCAAGAGAGACGGTGCGAGAGAGACGGTGCGAGAGAGACGGTGCGAGAGAGACGGTGCGAGAGAAACGGTGCGAGAGAGACGGTGCGAGAGAGATGGCGCGAGAGAGACGGTGCGAGAGAGACGGTGCGAGAGAGACGGTGCGAGAGAAACGGTGCGAGAGAGACGGTGCGAGAGAGACGGTGCGAGAGAGACGGTGCGAGAGAGACGGCGCGAGAGAGACGGCGCGAGAGAGACGATGCGAGAGAGATGGTGCTAGAAGTTGTTCTGGGTTTCCGGGCCTGTGGGCTCACTAAGCCTTTGAGGCATTTCAAAAGGAAGGAAAAGACAATAAGAAGGGGGCTAAAAGGGAGGAGAGGCTAGCAGCTGGTTAGGCCTGCACGTGAGGCACGGCAAGGAAGCCTTACGGCCCCATCCATGCCGTCATGCCATGACGCCGTAACATACCTGCAAGTAACCAACCAAATTCCACCCCCCTCCTGCAAGTTGACAGATTTACCCCCCCAATTCCAATCACTACCACCCCACGCAACCAAATTCTCGGAGAGCTCTGAACCCTCGCCACTTCCCCCACTCCCACACAAACACGCCCAGATTGCCCCAGATTTGCCCCAGATTCGCCCAGATAATACCTCCACCAGGTCGCCCCCGAACGTGGCGGAGTGGATGCGGCCTCCCAGCCGGCCACTCGCCTCCAGAAGCACCACGCGTACGCACCCCGATTGCTGCGAGGAATGGGTGGGAAGGAAGAGGTTAGAGGAGAGGTTGTGATCAGAGCTATTGATATTCAGAAATGAGGGGGAGGGATGGGAGTACCCCACGTGCATTAAAAAAGAAAGGAAAGAAAAGAAAAGAAAAGAAAAGGAAACGAAAGAAAAGAAAGGAAAAAAAAAAAAAAAAAAAAGAAAAGAAAGGAAAGGAAACGAAAGAAAAGAAACGAAAAAGTGCTACTTGCATCCGGCTTGCCACATCAGCAGTTCTCGACATCGTTACGATCTCTCTGGTGAGCGTACGATTCAACACGGCACCGCGCGATCCGCGATCTCACCTGCAGCGTGCGTGCGGCAGTCACGCCCGCCATTCCCGCGCCCACTACGACGACCACCGGTCGCGCATCCATGGTGTGCAACGAATATGATCGTCGGATCCGTCGCCTATGTCTGGATCTGTCGTCTCCTCGCTCGGAAAGTCGCCTGCAGGAGGGGTGGAAATCGCAGGAGGGTGAGGTGAGGGGGTTTTGATTTGAGAGGTTGGGCGGCTGGAAGGTTGAGGGGATTGCGGTTGCGACGCGGATGTGGTGCATCGAGTTGCAACGCAACTGTCGCCAAGCAGACTCGCTTGACCTTCTCGTTATGGGGTGATCCATGATTTATCTGAGAATTTTCTGAGCATGAGTATATCTAAACACTTTCCTAAGACGCCAGATAAACACATTGTTCAGCACATGAACCACTGCAGAGGTTTTCGAACAGGTTCATACCGCACCGTTCAGCATCCCGTCACACCTATATTAACCCAATCTCACCTACCCTCACCTCCCTCTTTTCCAACCAAACCATGTCCATTTTCCGAGGCATACACTTGCCAGAGAGCCAGCTGCACTGACGAACAGATGGCTGTTTACCATCTGCCTGTCCCGTCACATCGCCGCCCATTTGCAACTCTCAGCAGCAAGCATTGCGCTTCGACGTCCGCTATCCAGGTCCTCAGCTTTCAGCCAATCCAGGCTCACGCTGCGAAGCAAAATGGCTCCCGTAGTTCAGAAAAGCCGCCAGGATCAGACGTCACTTCACGCCTGTTCTTCCCGCATCGATAAGGCACTCCGCGATTCGGGCAAAATGCCATCCAGGAATCTTATCCGAAGTGAGAGAGCGGACCAGTCCGACCATCCGATGCGCTGCGCGTTGCGCTCTGTTTTCGCAGGGTCGCCTCGATGGCTCTTTATTATATATGCCGGCTGAAATTAATCCACATCTCAAACCTTCGCAGGAAGTGAGCAGTGTAACCCAGCTTCAACACTACAGCACGTACACTCACCAGCGACGACAGCCTTACTCCCTTCTTTCCATCTCCTGTGATTTCTTCACATTCGCAATGGCTCGTCTCTTCGCGGCATCCCAGCTGCTGCCTGTGCTGGTACTGGCTGCCATGCTTGCTCTCCTCGCTTCTGCGCCTGCCGCGAACGCCGCTGACGGAGTGAACTACGTCAAGAGCGGCCTCGACTGGGAGGTAGGAGGTCAAGGAAAGCAAAATGCAATTCCGAGAATCATCAAAAGTCACCCATCAACAGCATGTTGGCGTAAGAGACATCAGCAAAGGGTCTGTCACTATTCAATGCAATACAAGACACTTCTGGAAATCCCCTCACCCCTTTCCCCCCAACCCCGCCTCTCCCCTTGCGCCCATCCTCAGGGAGTGTGTGCGTCGGGCGAGAGGCAGTCGCCCATCAACATAGTAATGGACGAGGCACGGACAGTGAGTGACGCGGAGAGGTTCCATCTGGACTATGACACGTCAGCCACCACGGCTACAGTCATCAACAAGGGATACACCGTCCGTGAGTGACATGTCATGTCACGATTTCCAATCTGTGTTCGGTATCATCCATATGCTGCTCTTGCCTCTTCCGCATACGAATCCGTGTCCATCTCGGCATTCTTTTGCTCTCCTTCTATTCTCCACGCGCCTTGTCTCTCAAATTTCCGTCTCTCCTTTATTTACTTTCCTCCTCGCGTTCTCCTCCCCTCCTTGCTCTCCTGCCTGTCCACCTGCCCTCGTCCTTCTCCATCCTTCCTCTGTCGCTCAGAGGTGGTTCCGAACCCATCCAACACCTACAAGCTTCACATAACCAGCGGCACTTATGAGCTGAAGCAGGTGCACGTGCACGCCTTCTCAGAGCACGCAGTCAATGGGCTCTTCGCTCCTATGGAGGCCCACTTCGTGCATGCACACATCGACAACCCCTCCCAGCTCGCTGTAGTCGGTGTCATGCTGAGACTGCAGCGGGACAACCAGGCGAGCCCGTGGGTGGATTCATGGCTGCCTGAGACCCCCTCGGGGCTGAACGCAACGGCTGGGGTTGATGTTTCCGGGAGTTTTTGGAGGGAGATGATGGATTTGTCCATGGGGTTTTGGAGGTATCCCGGCTCGCTTACTACTCCGAGCTGCGACGAGATTGTTGAGTGGCACGTGCTGCGCAAGGCCAAGTTCCTCTCTGTGAATCAGGTAGGTAGCCTGTGACTTGATGTTTGGTGACCCGTTCCCCTGCCAGTACCTGTGTCTTCTTTGCAGATTTGGACCTTAATGCCTTCCACACCTAAGTTTTTTCGTTCCTCCCGCCATACCCATTCTCACTGTTTTTTACGTGCCCTTTGTTTGAAACCGTGGCCCCTTTTGTTCACCTCGCAGGCTGCCACTTTCATGAATCTGATGGGAACGATGAACAAGGAGCGCACCAATAATCGCCTGCCAGAGCCACTTCACGGCAGGGAGGTCACCTACTTCACTACAATCACTGCGTAACTAACCAGCACCACTGCCTACTTTGCTGGCACGAGTCTAGAAATGCATGCTCGAGTTGTATCTGCTGTTATGAAGCTGATTGGATCCGTACAAGCTTTTACTACCATATCATATTTGCAGTGTACAGAAGTGCATTACCATGAATAAATGCATCGATGGAAGCGCTCATGAACTTGGTAGTGTGGGTCAAAAGAGAAGAAGCTGCACATGCACTAAGCCTATTGCAAATTAAGACCGGATGAGAGGTTAATTTCGCCATACTTCATTATGTGAATAGGTGTTTTCGTAGCTCTACTTTTTATAAGAAAGCATGTGTTTGAATATATATAGCATTGTGCAGCCCTGCTTAATCGACTTTCGTCAGGTGTGGCGCATCTTTCTTTCCTTCGACGCAAACGCAGCCGTGCTTCGGGTGTGCTTGCACCGCACCGCACTCTGACAGCACCTGGCTCTGTCGACGGCCACCCTGAGTGATCTGCGGGGGATTCTGCACCAGCAGGAATATTGAAAGTCAGGAGAGAACCACCGACCGACCAGCATGGAAAGCCGAATCCCGCAGGAACAATTTCGCAGCTGGGTTGGGCAGGCACTATTTTCTGAAACCGAATCCAGAGTGTAGAACCTTGACAGAACGACACAACATTCTTGATTAACATTAGACCGGAAACATCATTATAATCCTGGAATTTAACTAATTTCTGCCCATGTGTCTCGAGCAGGGTCGTTCTGCAAGTGAATTCGAGTCATCCCGCCCCCCCAGAAAGTCAGCAAAGTTGCAAGCACACTGAAGTTTCTGCGCAACGGAGCATGTCGGAGGAAATATGGCCATGCCTGTGGAACATATGTCAACAGTACATCCATGGCGGGAACGATTGACTTGTTTGGCAGAACCAGTAGAGACTGTATCCCTGCCTCTCCGACTCGATGACTGGAAATTAAACTTGGTGGTCGTGCTAACAGCTTCCAGTCCCTGTCGGCTGTCGCGTTCAGCGATTCGTAGTTGTGTTGCTGGATAGCCGACGCGCAGCTTAGTAGAGCTTTTTGTTTGGCTCAAGTGATTGCGGCACTCATAACGACTACAACAGATCCGAGGACCGAATCTCCAGATTCGCGGATTAACCAAAATGAAGTCTAGAGTAAAAGCGCGGGATGAAGCAGAAACCGAATTAATCTACTGCAGCAGCACCACCACCACCAGCGGCAGCAGCAGCTGCAGCAGCATCAACGGCGGCGACAGCAGAAGATGTTGTATACGAGCGAGCGGCAGCCTAGGCAGGCCGAGTCCGTGGTTGTTATCAAGATACTACTGGCTCGTGCCGCTGATTTCCCTGCTTCTCCTCTCCGCAGCGACAGCTCACTTCTCACAGGTGCACAAACGCTCCCAGGTGCCGTCAGGTGCTTTCAGGTTCCTTCAGGTGCTTTCTGTTGTTCTCCAAGGTGAGGTGGTATCTGATCCACAGGCGCGGCTGTCCCAGGGCGCGCCTTGCTTGTGTGCACGTCCTCACTGTGCGCACGTACGCGAATGAACGGCACTCTTCGTACGCACGCGACGCGAATGGCGTAATGCATTTTACGTGCACGCGTCGAGCTTGCAACCTTTCCCTTCTATTGTGTGTGTGTCGTATCTCGACTCTTAACGTAGTCCCGCTTACCATCATGCTATCCCGCTCGCACATCCGTGCCCCCTTGTCCCCATTGAATGGAGCACGTGACACGTGTCTCAATGCACGCAGGACGGCAGAAGCGCGATCGGCGCTACTACAGTCGGCGGCGCGCACTTCACGTCGCGCGTCTTCCTCTCTCTCGACGCCGCCAGATCCGCTTCCGCGCCCCTCTCGGTACGACTCGCGCGCGGCCCGGGTAAGAGGGTGAGCGAGAGGAGACTGAAAAGAGAGGTCGAGAGGAGATGTCGAGAGGATAGGTTGGGAGGTCAGGTCGGGAGGATAGGCTGGGAGGTCAGGTCGGGAGGATAGGTTGGGAGGTGGGAGGATAGGTTGGGAGGTCAGGTCGGGAGGATAGGTTGCGAGGAGGCGCGGAGAGGAGGTGTCGTGAGGCAAGGAACGAGAGAGAAATGGGGAGGAGATGAAGGGAGATAATGTCAACGGTGCACGGCAACAATTTGCTAAAAACTACTACTGCCACGCAAGACCATGGCTCCTGTTTGGGGATCGATAAGGGAGATATTGTCAACGGTGCACGGCAGTGCTGCCGTCCGCAGGATCGCTGCTCAGGGGGATAGTCTCCGCGCCTTTCATTGTTCCGCCTACGCTTATCAGGGCGCTCGGAATTATTCCCCGCGCGAAAAGCTTCCGCAGCCTCATCTGGCTCCTTCCCCGTGGTTCAATTCCCCCCCCCGCGCTGGACCGCGCTCTCTGTTGAATTTTCCGCGGACCGCTTCCCCCGTCCTGATGTTTCCCCCTCTTCTCCCCACTTTTCTCCTTTCCTCCCCTCCCCCCTTTCCCTCCGCCCCACATCCCCCCCTTCCCGTCTCCCCGGGTTCCGCGCTCAGCGGAGGCGAGGGCGCATGCTAGCGGGCAAGGCGGCGGACGGCGCGAACGCGCTGTTCAACATCTCGTCGCCCTTCAACAACTTCGGGTATGCCGCGCCACGCCCGCGCACCACACCACGTGCGCACCACACGCGCACCACACGCGCACGCCTGATGCTGTTAGATTCCTCTTACTCTTCCGCACGCTTTATTCCACTGAGCTTCTCCTATCATGTCCCACGCCGTATAACACCAGTCCCCCGCCTTCACCCCCTTCCGCCCTTCCGCCTCCCCACTCCCCTGCTACCCCTCCTCCCAAGACGCATGTAGAAGGTGCTGACGCTGGGCACGCCGTCGCAACGGTTGTGAGACATATCAAATACCCGCCGCCCCACTTCACCCTCTCCCTCCCCCTCCCGTCTCCCCCCTCCCCCCTCCCCCCGCGCAGGCGCATGTACACGGTGATATCGCTGGGCACGCCCGCGCGGTCGTTCTTAGAGTCGACTCAAAACTTCCCCCCCATTCTCCGTGCCCCTTCCCCCCCGCCACCCCCTCCCCCTTCCGTCCCTCAACCCCCCGCAGGCGCATGTACACGGTGATATCGCTGGGCACGCCCGCGCGGTCGTTCGCGGTGAACGTGGACACGAGCACGAGCCTGTCGTGGGTCTCCTGCGACTGCCTGCAGTGCCCCTCCTCCTCCACCATCGTCACCGTGCGTTGCGTTGCTCCCCTCCCTCCCTCCCTCCCTCGCTCCCTCCCTCCCTCGCTCCCTCCCTCCCTCCCTCCCTCGCTCCCTCGCTCCCTCCCTCCCTCCCTCGCTCGCTCTCTCCCTTGCTGCGTTTTTCCTTCCCCCGCTTCTTTGTTCCTGCGTCTCCCTTCCTTCGATCCCGCTTCCCTCTCCTCCGCCTGCCCTCGTTTCCTACGTCGCCGCTGCCGCGTGACTCTGCTCCCACGGCCGCAATTTGCACCCCTTTCCCATCTCTCCCCCAGTCTCTCCCCCATCTCCTCTCCCATCTCTCCCCCCATCTCTTCCCGCCCGTCTCCCCTCAAGCCAGTCGCTCACGGAGTTCTCAACAGCAGCGTCGACCACGGCCAAGCCAGTGGGGTGCAAGGACGCGGCGTGCAAGCAGGCGCCCGTGTTTGGGTGCGACCAGCTGGCGGAGGGGCAGGGCGGCAGGAAGGGCGTGTGCGAGTACTCTCTTGCTACCAACGGCACGCTCGTTTCCGATCGCATTGCGCTCGCTGCCGCTGACGGGAGCAGCACCAGCGCGGCTGCATCGGTCGTGTTTGGGTACGTGCTGAGGGGTGTGGTGTGCGGTGGGTGTGGTGGGCGGTGGGTGGTGGGTAATGTGTGTGTGGGCTTTCAGGCGCCGGTGTCTTGGTGCGTCTAGTTGGTGGAGAGGAGGGGAGGGGAGGGGAGGCGAGGGGAGGGGAGGGGAGGAAAGGTGTGTGCGAGTACTCGCTCGCCACCAACGCACGCTCGTTGCGGATCGCCTTCAACTCGCTGCCGCTGATGGGAGCAGCAGCACCAGTGCATCGGTTTCGGTTGTGTTTGGGTACGTGCCGTGATGTGTTGCTGGGCCTGGGCGCTGCCAGGAGCTACTCCGTGCTCAACCTCCTCTCTCTCTCCCCTCTCTCTCTCCCCTCTCTCTCTCCCCTGCCCCTGCCCTACAACCAACCCCCATTCCCCACACCAGGTGCGCCAGGGTGCGTCCATTTGAAGACCTAGACGACCCAGTGGCAGTGGACGGAGTGCTAGGCCTGGGAGCCAGGAGCTACTCGGTGCTCAACCAGCTGGCGGCGGCAGCGGTGGTGCCGCCTGCGTTTGCGCTGTGCTTTGACTCAACGAGCAACTCGGGGTTCCTGTCGCTGGGCGCGCCAATGCTGCCACCCAATGTCACCACCACGGACTATGTGGGGTTTGACAACGAGTGAGTACATGTTGTGACCCGTGGCATAGCATTTGAGTGTGTGTGTGTGTGTGTGTGTGTGCGCGCGCGCGCGCGCGCCAAATTGTGGCTCGTGTGTGTGTGAGTGTAACTCATAGCACTCCCGCTGCTTCGCGCCAGGTTGTGTTGTGACTTGTGACGCGGATCCGCGTGGTTTTTGAGTCAAATCAAATCTGAGCATGGCTTCTGAGTTGACTCGAAAGGCACCTCATCCTCCCCCCCCCCTCCCCTCCCGCTTCCGCCCCTGCGGTCTTTCGCCCACTGCACGCGCTACCCCCTGCCCATCATCTCTCTTCCTTCTTTTTCCCTCCCTCTCCCGCTCCCCCCCCCTTTTCCCCCGTTCCCCCGTCCCACCCACAGCACGCGCTACTTCCTGCCGCTGACACAGATCCGCGTGGGGCAGACAGCAGTGAAGGGCAGCGCAGCAGTGGCAAAGATGAACGGCGACCTCACAGGCGGCTTCACCGTCAAGAGCAGCTACCTCTCCTCGGGTCTGCGATCCGCTGTGCACGCTGACCTGGTCAAACTGGTGAGCTTTCGGAGTTGACCCCCTGTGGTTATCATAGAAACTGTCACGAGCAGCAGAGCAGCTACCTCTCCTCCGGCCTGCGATCCGCCGTGCACGCTGACCTGGTCAAACTGGTGAGCTTTCACAGTTGACCCAATGGTTGTCCCAAGAACTGTCCCGAGCAGCAGAGCAGCTACCTCTCCTCGGGCCTGCAAGCACCCGTGCGCGCTGACTTGGTCAAAGTAATAAACTTTCTAGTTTGACTCGCTAACCGTCCAAGGCAGGTGCCTCGAGTCAAGCCTGCATGCCGCTGTGCACCCTGACTTGGTCAAACTTGTAAGCTCTTCTGCTTTTTGAGAATTCTCAGAAAACAGAAAGCACATTGGTCTCGTCTGACCACCCGGCACGTATCCCTGTTCCCGCATGCTCCACACATGCAATCCTGCACCCATCACTGCCTTCTCCCCCTGGGCAGGTGTTTGCCAACTCCTCCCTGCGCCGGGCCGACATGGACGTCTACTCATGCGTGCACCTCACCGTCTTGTGAGTTCCTGCCATCTCGTGCCATCTCGTGCCATCTCCTGCCATCTCGTGCCATCCCTGCCATAGTGTGTCTGCTCATCCACGCCATACCATTCCACACCATAACCACTCGCCGTGCCCCATGTGCCATGTGCCATGTGTCATGTCCCATGTCCCATGTGCCATGTGCCATGTGCCATGCCATGCCGGTGAGGTGCCTCTCAAAACGCCGTCTCTCCGCGCCACGCGCGCTATGCCATACTGCCTGCTGCGTCTCACCTGGAATGTGCGCTTACTGTTCTTCTTAACTTCCTACTGTTAACTTTTGCATGCTCCGCCTTATGCATGCTCACATCCATTCTTCTCTCAGGACTGTTTCGTTGAAACGCATGTTCTTTTCAAAAGCAGACGCTTAAAAGGGTTGGCATGAGTACCCCTCTGTACCTTTCCGCGTCTGAGACGCCTCCTCTTGTCTCTCCGTGCCACCACCATAACCATGGCCATATTTACCACCATTCCACCGCTCACCTTCACTCCCCTGTCGCAGTGAGGCGCAGGGCGTGATGTTCCCCTCCACATTCTGCATGTCAAGGAGGGCTCGCTGGAAAGTTTTGAGTTGCGGCGCCTCAAAACTCACGTCCATATAACCATTCCCAATTTCCCACCCCGCTGCTGCAGTGAGGCACAGGACATGGTGTTCCCCTCCATATTCCTGGATGTTAAGGAGGGCTCGCTCGAGATCACACCCAACAACTACCTCATCAAATACGTGAGTCCTGCTGCTATATTGAAATCACTTTTGAGAATTCTCACAAGTGATTTCAAGATCACGCCCAACAACTACCTCATCAAATACGTGAGTGCTGCTGCTTGTGCGCGGAACAAGAGCAAGAGCTCCTTCTCATCAACTGCCTCACTTGTTCTTCTCCGCTCTCCTGTTCTCGCATTCGGTTGCATGCGCCCCATTCTCGTGCGCATGACACTCTGTTTGTGTGTGCTGTGGTCGTTGTCTCTTAAGAACGATTTGATGCATTTTAATCCACAGTGCACCACTCATCTCCCCTACTTCTCATCTAGCAACCCAACCTCCCATCGGCAGCCCATTCCATTCTCCTTCAATCCATTCCATTCCCAACACCATCCCCTTCCCCCCATCACCCTTTCTGTTCCACCCTTTCCCCCCCATTACCCTTTCTGTTCCGCATGTAAGTAGACGACTTTTGAGTCGTCTCAAAAGGCAGCCCATTCCATTCCCTAGCACCGTCCCCTTCCCCCCGTCACCCTTTCCGTTCCACCCTTACTCCCCCATCACCCTCCCCGTTATGCCCCAATGCTGAACACCTCACTCAACAACAGGGCGAGGACAGCACGGGCATGATCCTGTGTCTGTCCGCCATTGTTGTGGATGACGACCTTTCCAACGGGTTCATTGGGGGTACGTGGGGGGGAGGAGTGGGGGTGGGAGGCCGGGTGGGCTGGAGGGAGGGAGGGAGGGTGCGTTTGTGGCCTGCCTGTAGCTCCTTGTATCTATGTTTGCTGGCACAGGGGTTGCAAGTTCCTGTAGCTCCTTGTATCTATGTTTGCTGGCACAGGGGTTGCAAGTTCCTGGGTACTTCCGAGCATTCTCAAAAGAAACGCCAACATAACAGGAATGGTCGTTCTTTGCTCCATGATCATGCCCCACGTGGTTGATTTTGAGAATTCTCAAAAACCAGCTCCATGATCACACACCCCCCACCCACCCACCCACCCACCCACCCATCCATCCATCCATCCATCCATCCATCAATCCATGCACGATGCCTCATCACTATCTCACCCCTTCTTTGCCCTGTCTCCCCTTCCCAACTCCTGCTTACCCCTTCTCCCCCTCTCGCCTTTCTCCTCCCTTCCCCCTTGCCCCATATCAGCCCTGTGAATGCAAGATCTCTCTTTGCGCTTTGACCTCAGCGCTGTCAGCCCTTTTCCTCTCTATCGTGCTCTCCTCCCCCTCTTCCCCCCTCTCCCCCTTCCTCCCCCCTCTTCCCCCCTCTTCCCCCCTCTTCCCCCCTCTTCCCCCCTCTTCCCCTTCCTCCCATGGCGCCTATCAGCACTGTGGATGAGGGACATGTATCTGCGCTTTGACCTCAGCCCTGTCAGCCTTGTCGGCCCGTTTCCTCTTTCCTCTCTACCGTGCCCCTCTCCCACTCTTCCCCCCTCCTCCCTCTGAGCACATGGCAGCCCTGTGGATGCGAGACATGTATCTGCGCTTTGACCTGGCCAAGAAGAAGCTAGCCTTCCAACCCCTCAACTGTAACACACGCTTGCACTCCCCTCCCTTCCTTCCTTCCTTCCTTCCTTCCTTCCTTCCTTCCTTCCTTCCTTCCTTCCTTCCTTCCTTCCTTCCTTCCTTCCTTCCTTCCTTCCTTCCTTCCTTCCTTCCTTCCTTCCTTCCTTCCTTCCTTACTTCCCACTTCCCACTTCCCCTCGACTGTAACAAACCCCTCCACTGCACTCCCCTTCCTTCCTTCCCACTTCTCTCACTCTCCTGCCACTCTCCTACCGCTCTCCTCTCTTGTCCTGTCCTGTCCCCTCGTCTCTGTCCCTTGGTCTCGACAAGTTCTCTCTGGTGCTAGGCGAATATTAAATGCATCACAAGCTTGAAGTTGAGTGGGTTCCGTAAGACATCCGTCTTTTCGCTTCCGTCTCCCTCCCTTTGCTCCAGCCCTACTCAATCCCTCCTTCTTCCCCCACACTCCGCCCTCTCCTTCCCCCCTACACCCCTCCCCAACATGTAACAGGCTCAGCAGGTGAATACTTCACGTCCATCCCAGCTCCCCCTCCCCCAGCTCCACCTGCTCCCCCGTCCACTGCAGCACCGCCCACACCACAGCCACCTGCACCTCCCTTTGGCGGCAACGGCAGTGTGTCAGCACAGGATGCAGACAAGGGGAACGGTGTGATTCCCAGTGATCTGCCGGTCGCGCTTCAGAACAATGCGACTGGGGGGGGTGACTCGGCTGGTGCCGGGGGCAAGGCAGGTGCGTGGTGGTCGTTGCGAGGCAGTGTGGGAAGGTGTGAGGAGGTGTGAGAAGTTGTGAGGAGGTGTGAGAAGTTGTGAGGTGGTGTGAGAAGGCTCCTTTCTTTGACTGTCTGTCACCCGTAGTCCTTGCTGGGGTGACTGGCATCCCAATTTACCCCCTTTTCTTCTCCCACTCTCCCGTGGGATGAGTCGATTTTTGAGTCGACTCAAAAATCGACTCATCACACGCGGATTGACACCCCAATTCACCCCCTTTTCTTTTCCCACTCTCCCCCCCTTCCTCCCCCCCAACACACACACAAGACGCACATACACGCAACGTACACGCAACATACACACGTGCGCTCGCTCGCTCGCTCGCTCAATCCCTTCCCTTGCGTCTCTCCCCCAAACAGGCCACCTGAGTTGCTCCATCTGGAACATCCATTCTCTCATCGCTCTTGTGATGGGGCTGCTTACCCTTCTGGTGCCCTAGCAGCACACAGCAGTGGAACGAGACTCAAAAAGTCACCTCGTTTTGAGTCGATTCCGAAGTGCTCTTGTGCACCAGCCCACCACTTTTTAGCCGATAAGACCTACTTTGGGCTGGATGTAATATATTGTAGACAGTGAATTGCCGAATGCGAAAGATGGTTCTTTACCGTCATCGCCCGGATAGTAGACAGTGTTGAATAGTAGACAGGGGTTGTCTATTATCCGGGTGTCTCTTATAAACAGGCAAGCCTCATTATCCAGGTGCATACGCGTTAAGCCAGTGAAGAGTTCAGGGGCAATCGTATAGCGAGGGTGTATCTTCTAACCGTTTCTTTGTCCATTTATAAGATTTATAAGACACATTAAACCATCCCAAATACAAGACAACCCAAGCATTTTTGCCCGCGTACGAGATAAGACACATACCGTATGTCTATTATCCGGGTGATGACGGTATTACCGGAGACCATTTCTCTTGCTCCCTTGCTGGCGTGACGAGGTGTTACGGTAGTGTAGGTTACTTGAACGTGCTCTTCTAAGGTTATTCTGGTGTCAAATGAAACACATGAACACTGAACAGAGTACTGGATCAACAACATTGTATGTTGCCCATCAGTGCTACAATAATTAAATACTCAGGTCTGACAATCCCAACCTGTCCCAACTGCCGCTTTGCAGGGGCGAGGGTTTTGGCGGAGCTAAGCAAGGCTTCTATCTAAACACAAGCCTTTGTACAGACTGGCGTTTAACAAGTCGGCTCGGGAAGAACCTGGCTCACAAAAAGGAATTAAAAATTCCGGCAACGGCAAGGGGAAAACGGAGAAGTTGCAAGGCCACAAGCACAATACCTTCGTAGCCCACTAAAGCCCATTTCTTGGCCTCCCCATTCCCACCACCCTAACCTCCCATCTAGTGCCCGTGCCTGTGCCCGTGCCTGTGCCCGTGCTTGTGCTCGTGCCCGTGCCTGTGCCCGTGCCTGTGCCCGTGCTTGTGCTCGTGCCCGTGCCCGTGCCCGTGCCCGTGCCCGTGCCCGTGCCCGTACCTGTGCCCATGCCTGTGCACGTCCCGTGCCCGTGCCCGTGCCCGTGCCCGTGCCCGTGCCCGTGCCCCTGCCTGTGCCTGTGCCTATGCCTGTGCCTGTGCCTATGCCTGTGCCTGTGCCTGCCCTTGCCCCTGCGCCTGTGGTGGGCGATACTGTGAACAGCAGACAATTGCTCTTTATTCAGCCCCACCACTCTCTACCCACTTCCACCATTCCCACCACTCCCCACTCCACCACTCATCCGTCTAGCACTCTAACCACACAACCCTGTCAACCCACAATCCCCTTCTCTTCCTTCCCTCCTTTCCCCTCCTCCTCCTCCTCTGTCTGAGCATGCTTCCTGTGGGGACCTGCAGTGGGAATAAAGCCGTACTTAAACCTAAGAGCCAGATTCCTGGCTCCCAGCTTCAGCCGAAGCACCACCACGCGCGGAGAAGAAGGAGGGGAAGAAACCGAACCCTTGTCATCCCCTTCAGCACCTCCCCCTCCTGCTCCTCCTCCTCCGGCGCCCTCCTTCCCCCCACCCCCTTTATGCCCCAAAAACTCCATATTCCGTCCGGATTTCGCCCTCCCGCTCGCTGCTCTCCCACTCTTCATTCGCCCGCTCTTAGCACCAATTGCCCCGTCTCTGTCCCCCGCTGCTCCCCCCCCAGCCTCTGCCGCTTCACCCGCCATCAGAGCTGCCTCAGCCTGTTCAAACCACGGGTGTTTCAGAATCAATGCTGCTGTAGGCCGCTTGGAGGGGTCCAGCTGGAGAATCGCCTGGTGCAGCTCCCGGGCAGCTTCCGAAATAACCTTCCATTTCCGGGCACCCGGGCGCGGCACGCCCTCAGTAACCACGTCGCGCGGCTCGCGGTAATGCGGTAACTCGCCGAAGAGTAACGCGTGCAGGACAACCCCTAGGCTCCATATGTCCACTGGAAAGGAATATTTCTCCTCGGATACTAACTCAGGAGCCATGTAACCTGGGGTGCCACATGTTCCCGAGGCGGTTTCCCCATCCCGAAGCACCATAGCGAATCCGAAATCGGCTAGTTTCACCACGAGGCCAAGGGAGACGGCGGAGGATCCGGCGGACACGGCGGCGGCGATCGCGGCGGGGGAGAGCGCGGACGATTCCGAGGGGGACGGCGGGATGGGCGCCGCGAGGTGCGGGGAGCGCGGCGGGCGCGTGTTGATGGGGGATTTGGGCGGGGGACCTGGCGCGGAGGCGGAGCGCGCGAACGCGCCCGCAGCAGCAGCAGCAGGGGGAGGCACGTTATCAGGAGAGTTTAGCCTAGGGGACTTGTCAGCAGCAGGGGATTTGAGCGCAGGGGAACGCGCGCCCTGGGGAAGGATGCTGAAGAGATTAAAGTGGTGGTGGTGGTGGTGGTGGCGTTGGTGAGGACTAGCTCCTGTTGGCGTTGTGCTCCCTGCTGACTGAACCCCCTCGTCTCCTTGCCCCCGCCCATTCCCACCCGCTCCCCCCACTCCGCCCGCCGCGGCGTCGTCTCCCGCGTGCGCCATGTCCGCGGAGACCATGCGCAGTTCCGCCTCCAGGTTCTCCGCCTCGGACTGCCGCCCCGTGGGCAGCGCGAGCAGCGCGTTTTCCAGCTTCACGTCGCGGTGCAGCACGCGCCGCCGGTGGCAGAACGCAACGCCCTCCACTAGCTGTTTAAATAGTACCGCCGCTTCGTTCTCCGGGAGCCCGCCCGCCCACGGCCCGCGCCCGCCGCGCGCGCTCCGCCCGCCTGCGCCGCCGCTGCCGCTGCTTCCGCCTCCACTGCCGAACACGAACCCGCCGATGCCGCCACCGCCGCCGCCGCTGGAGCCGAAGAACCCGCCGCTGCTGCCGAAGCTTCCTCGCTCTTGCCTCAGGAGCTCGATCCGCGCCGCGAGGTGTTCTAGAAGGTTACCCGCTTCGCACATCTCCATGACGACGCGCAATCGCTCGCTGTTGTTATACACCTTCTTAACCTGCACCACGTGCTCGTGCCCGCGCACGCGATTCATTACGTCCACCTCGCGCGCCAACGCGATGCGGCGCGCCTCGAAGTCCTCGAGCCGCTGGCAGTCCGCGTAAAGCGCCTCCTTGGAAATGGTTTTAACGGCTAGCGGCCCCGCGCCGAGCTCCCCCGTCGTGTCGTTGCACGTCTCGACGAGCCCGTAGCCTCCCTCTCCTAGCTTCTTCCCGACATTAAAGCGGTAAGTGAACTGCATAGTAGGCTGCTGCTGGTGGTGGGGGTCCTTGCCCGGTGCGCCTTGAGTTACGTCCCACGTGCCGCTATGGCCGCCGCCCACCCGCGGACGCCGCACCGCCTGCCGCCCGACCACGATCTCTTTCTTCCCCCGCCACCGCGCCATCTTCCCCTTTCCGCCAGCGCCTCCCCCCGCCGCCGCCGCCGCGGAGAGCGCGTCTTTCGGCGTACTGGCCGGCGGAGCCTGGTCCGCCGCCTCATCCGGAGCAACGGCCGGGGGCGCAGGCGCAGGCGCAGAAGCCGTCGTTGCGCGGTCGGGCGCAGGCGCATCTGCGCGCGCGACAGCGTCATCAGGCGCGACAGGCTCCGCAACTGACGGGGAGGAGGAAACGGGTAACTGCTCACTGGAGGTCGGTGTGGTTTCTACGGAGATTAAAGCCGGTACGCCGTTGTTCGGAAAACTTATGGACGAGCTCGACCCTTCTTGCATGGTGTTCGCAGTTGCCGACTCGACACTTCCCTCATTATCGGCTGTCGTGAGGGTTTGCGCAGACGCATGCGCATCGGCCCGTGCCGCGGTTTCCGCGTCTTCTAACGGGCCTGCCGAAGCGGCCGGCACAGCAGCTGCCGCCGCCGCTGCCGCTTCCTCCACCTCCGCCGATGCCGGCGTCACCGCCGGCGCTGATGCCCCGTCAGCAGTAGTTGTGTTTAGAGACGTCTCTGAAGTCACCTGGCCTGCCATACCCGCAGCCGTTTCTGCAGCCATTTCAGAACGCCTAGCCGACGGGATGAAGCGTCCGTTGCGGGTAACAAACGTCAATTACTCTGAAACCGGCAGGTGATCTGTCAGCTGCCCTGTAAATGACAAATACGTGTCAACTTATTAAGAGAGCTAGAGCTAGTGTTGGTGAGTCTAGAGGCTACACAGCTAGAGCTAGGACGACAAGAGCTGGCGCGATAGGCGGACGGGGAGCTAGATAGGTCGTGGCTCGACGAGGGGGAGGCATAAAAAAAAACCGAAGCACCTACGCGCTCTTGTGGAGTAGAAGTGAGAAGCGGCTATTGTGCGGGGAGCTTTCGGGTGCGCTTGACCTAACATGGACTAGAATGGAGCCGTGCGCATTTCTGGTTGTTCCTTCCTTGCCTCAACCTAACGCTCGCCTCGCCACCACTAGTACGCACGTACAACCCGTCCCTTAGCTCGACCTGACGCCTACCGCAGTTGAAACGCATGTTCTGTTCCTTCTTTCGCTGGACGGCAGAGCTTCTAGAGCCAAGTCTGCCAGGACAGCGCATAGCGTATGCACTGAGAGAACGCCATTTTTCTTGCTGCTACGTGGTGGTACTGTATTAGTTGGACATTGGGGGGGTTGTTACTGGAATTAGCTGCTGATCCAGTCGGAGGTAAACGGTAGACTCGAAAGCATTCTTCCAGTTTAGGTCAAGTTGAGATAATTACTAACGGAAGATTCTTGCTTCCTCTGATTGAACTCCACAGACCACAACTAACCCACAAGACCTACACACGCGAGCCGTCCGACGCAGCTTCGCATCTGGTCTCACACAAACAGCACAACACAAGCATGGGTCTCTCGACTCCGCTCCACTCCCCCCTCCTGACTCACTCTTCGGAGTCCTGACTTGGCGGCTAACCCTATCACTCAACAGATTTTGGTCAATTCCACTGGCATTCAGATTTTGCCAGTGCGGGTTTGCGATTGTATACAAATGACGGAATCGGAGGAAAGATGTCGGCCCGGCGGAAAAACCACGGGGTTACCCGTGTTCAAGGTTGAGGCTCCCAAATCGCATGTCATCCGGACGGGGTTTATTTTTCTCTGACCGCGGGCAGTTAGCGGTTCTTCTGCGCCGTACCTGACGGCCGTCAGTTGTATACATTCGCAAATCGCACGGGCGAAATCTGCACGGAGATGATGTTGTCCCACCAGATCTTCTCCGTCCCTCTCTTCGCCCCTCGAAGTCAATTCTTGAACGCCAGTCCCCTCACTCCACTCTGCCCTCTCTCCCCATTGTACAGAACAGACTCCCCTTTCCGTTACACACTTCACTGTAGTGCACACACCCCCGCTACCCCCCGTTACTGCACAGTTCGGCTCTTGGGCCTGCTTGTGTTGCGGCTATTCGCTATAGTGACCGTTGTAGCAGGGGGTGCATGTACGTGAGCGAGGTTTCGTGCGCAAAGATTGGTTGCGGACACGATTGTTACGCAAGGAACTTCCCTCACCCAACAAAGAGGATTTATAAGTTACACTACCCTTCTCCATTCTTTAAGTTGGAAATGCATTTCCTCCCTGACTCATTGCACAATGAAACACTTAATGATTCTGAGCTACTTTATGTTCAGCCTGCATGCTCAAATCAAGGACAGGTCGTATGGGAATACACCACTAGAAGTGGTCCTCACTTCTTTATACAGAGTCCCTCCATCTCCTATCTAATACTGTTTGCATCTCCTGTCAACAATTCTCCTCAGGGAAATTAAGCCCTTGATGCTGACTGACACACAAAGAAGTGCATGAAACTGGTTAAAATCCTTGTACAAAAAAATGGTCTACTAGGTATGAGTGCCACCAAGAAAAATCAATGCATGACCCACCCACATGCATCATTACAGCTTAACCATCCTCCCATCCCATGTGTGAATCAACCCTTTTTGTACTTGTCCACATAGGCCTGTGAAAGGCGGGCGGCCCAAGCAGTACACGAGATAGGCAGGTGGGAAGGAGGAGGGTAGTTGAGTACCGTACACGGGTAACGAGTTACATGGGTGTCAAGGGGATAGACGGATGAGAGGAGGGATTAGTTGGGTTGGGTATGATGAGGACATAAAACAGTGGGACGACCAACAAAAGAGTGACTACATGTGTGCATGTACCCACAGCAAGCCCCTTAACTTGGCTGTCCACGCACTTGCATGCCCCCATGGGCTCGCATGCAACACTGTCCTCACAGAACCATATTCCCCAAGTTTTTCTCCTCCTTTTTACGAACTTATTAGAACCCAAACCCAAAGCTCCCATCCAGGAAAACCACCCAGAGTTCACAACCAAGGTGAGCACACCAAAAGCCCCTTTTGAGAATTCTCAAAAGCGAACCAAAAACAATCCCACCTAGGTAACCCACAACAAAACCCCATTGCACCAACAGCACCCACGCACGCACCTGGACGAGCGACGTGATCCGTTCCTTCCTGTGCTCGCTAAGATATGCCTGCACCTGCTTCTCGTTCTTGGGCAGGTGCTTCTCCTGCACCGCCCCCACCACTTTCTCCACTGCCTTTTTCGCAATCGTCTTAAACATCTCCCTAGACAGCCCCCTCTCCTTCCACACAGGCTTGAGCACCTCCTTTACCACTTCCGCAACCCCCACTCTCAGCAGAGCCTGTTTGCTGCTCAGCCCGCTCTTACTCTTCCCGTCTCCCCCTTTCTCCTCCCCTCCTCCTCCTCCCGCACCGCTGCGGCTCCCATGCTTGCTCCCACTCTTCCCTTCCTTCTTCCCGGATCTTTTCTTCTCACCACCCTTGCCTTTCTCCCGACCAGTCCCTTCCTCTTGAGCGTCTTTCTCATCATCATCCCTCCCATCGACTTCCATGGACACATCGTCCTCTGACTTGCCCTTCTCCTCTGAGGATGCCCCACCGTTTGCTGCCCCAGGCATATCACCATCACCAGGCTCAGAGTCAGGGGGTGGTGATGCTGGCAGTGGTGGCAGTGGAGGCAGCGGGGGCAGTGGCGGTAGAGGCAGTGTGGACAATGGTGCCTGTGCCGTTTCTCCTGCTCCTGCTGCCGCTGCCGCTGCAGCAGCTCCTGCCGCTTCTGCTACCGCTGCCCCTCCACCTGCCCCTGATCCTGCAGCCACTGCAGGAGCAAAAGACGAGCCTGCCCCACCTGCTGAACCAGCTGCCGCAGCCACAACAGCAGCAGCATTCGCGAGCGCAGAAGCCAAAGCAGGGGAGAGGCCAGACGCGGAGAGCGACGGGTGGGCCGGGGCAGTGGGCAGCTGCGGAAGGGAAGAAGCATGGAGAGGGGCGCTGGTGGTGGTGGTTGTGTTGGCAGGCACGGGAGAGGGGTTTGCATGTGTTGGTGGTAGCGGGTGAGGTGGGGGAGGGGGAGGGGGAGGTGGCAGCTGTTGGTTGTATTGAGGAGGAGTCATGGTAGACTGAGGCAGGCCTTGCAGATGGGGTTGGGAAGGCGTGGCAAGAGGGTGGAGGCCGGCATTGTTGGTGTAAGAACCCCCGAAAGGTTGAGAATGCCCTGGAAACTGGTGGGTCAGAGGTGGCACTGGACCGCCGCTGCTGCTGCTGCTGCTGGTGCTGGTGCTGGTGCTGCTGGTGCTGCTGTTGCTGCTGCTGTCGCTGCTGCCAAGGCCCCCCTACACTCTCTTCCCCATCCCCCAAGTCCATACAATCAGCCAGAGGGTCATACTCCTCTGATGCAACCCCTCCCCCTGCTCCTCCCCCCGTTTTGGCCCCTGATCCGCCCGCTCCCCCGCCCATCTGGCCCTGCGGCCACCCCCCAAACGCTTGCTGGGGGGGACTGCTGCTGCTGCTGCTGCTGCTGCGCCCCATGCATAGGAGGCGGGGGATTCGGGGGAAGGGGCGGGGGAGGCTGCAGCGGGGGAGGGGGGTTACTAGGCGGAGGCTGGAGCGGGGGAGGGGGAACAGGCGGAAGTGGAGGCGCATGGGGGGCCCATAAGGGACCTTGTTCCTGCCCCTGCCCCGGCCACTGTCCCTGCCCCTGCCTGTATCCCTGTCCCTGCTGCTGCGGGTAGTTGGGGTGCTGCTGCTGTTGCTGCTGGTGAAATGGTCCCGGAGGGTAGTTGTTAGCGTGAGGAGGAGGGGGGCCGCCAAAAGGGGGATGAGAGGCAGGAGAAGGGGGGAAGGCAGGCCTGAAAGGAGGTTTCTGGTTGAACGGAGGGGCAGAGGATAATTCCTGGTGGTGGGGTTGTGGCTGGCCGGGGAGGAGAAAGGGCGCGGGGGTAGAAGCAGCAGGGGGAGGGGCAGACGCAGCAGGGACGGAGGGTGCAGGGGCAGAGGGAACAGCAGAAGAGGGAGCAGCAGCAGCAGAGGGAGGAGCAGCAGAACTAGCAGCACCGGTTCCCCCAGTCTTGTCCCATTTAGACGCCCATTTCCGTGCTCCGCCTGCTGCTGCTTGCCCTGCCCCCTCATCCTTCTCTTCCTTCCCCTCCTGCTTGTCTTGGCGCCCTCCCTCCAAGACCGACCCCCCTGCCTTGTCACCCGCTGCAGCAACAATCCCGGCAGCAGCAGCTTTAGCAGCGGCGAACCTAGCAGCAACCGCTCCTGCGGCAGCAATCATTGCGGCACTATCCTCAACAGCGGGAAGCTTCACTGGTGCAATAGCACCCGCTCCTTCTGCTTCACCACCTTTTGACAACCTCCCACCGTCATCCCAACCACTGGACCGCCCTCTCCCTGCTTCTCTCCCCCCTTCTCTCCGCCCTTCCCTCCCATTCAGTTGCCCTTCCTTCCAATGCTCTCCGTCCCTGTCACTGTCCCCAGATCTCCTCCCCTCTCGTCCTCTTCCACTCTCTTCCCTCTCTCTTCCTCCACTTCCCCACTCTCTCCCACCATCCCTCCTATCCCTCTCCCACCCTCCCCTTTCCTCCCTCTCCCTCTCCTCCTCCTTCTTCACATGCCTTTCCCTCTCTCTCTCCCGCCCCCTCTCCCTCTCCCATCCACGCTCATTTCTGTCTTCCCGTTGGCTGCCTCTCCGTTCCCGCCGCCCTTCCAGCCCTTCCCATCCTTCCCTCCTGCCCCTCTCAAGCCTTTCCCTCCTGTCATCCTCTTCCCCCTCCCTCCTGCCTCTCCCTCCCCTCTGCGCGCGCTCCTCATCCTCCTCCTCATCCCATCTACCCTCCTCCCACCTCCCCTCGTCCCGACCCTGCCCCTCGCTCTGCTCCTGCTCCTTCTGCTGATCCTTCCCCTGCTCCTTAGGCTGCTCCCCGCCACCCTCGCCCCAGCGCGAAACGCGCGCTCCTCCTCCCCGCGCCCTCCCCTCCCGGGGCCGACTGCCATGGGGGGAAGGGCTGAGGCGGGAAGGGAGCGGAGGGGAGACACAAGCGGAGAAAGGGGCTGGAGATGCTTGGGGCGGCATATGCTTGCGGGGGCGCAGATGCTACGGCAGGCAGAGATGCACTGGGAAAGGAGAAATGTGCTGCGGACAATGAAGGAACGAAAGATGCCTTTCTTTTAGGCGGAGACAAGGAGTTGAAAAAGGAATGTGTAGAGATGGTATGCACTGTCCTATGCATACGTTGCGGATGATCAACTAGTGGGGCACATACGGAGCGATGGGGTGGGTGAGGAAAGACGTGAAACGGATCCCGCGGACAGACAGCAAGAGGAGCAAGGATGGGGCGAATCACGAAGGGAGAAACTGGCCGAGGAGAGAGAGCAGGGTGCCAGAGATAAGGGCGTGCATGCGTGTGCGAAAGCGAGAGATAGAGAGAGGGGACTGAAAAGGGCGGAGAGGGCGGTTGGGCAGGGAAGGGGGTATGGGAGGGAGAGTGAACGAACCTTCTCCTGTTGGTGCCACTTGGTGAGTCCCCTTGCCTTCCTCTCTCCTCCCCACCTCCATCGCGCCCTCGGCTCCTGCTTCTGCTTCTACTCCTCCCTCTCCCTCTCCCTCTGCTCCTGCTCCGACTCCTGCTCCTGCTCCTGCTCCTGCTCCTGCTCCTCCTTCTCCCCCTCCCCCTGCTCCTGCTCCTGCTCCTGCTTCTTTTCTTCGACCGATGCCTTCCCCTGCTCCTACTCCTCCTTCTCCTCCCTTTCCTCACGTCTCTTGCATCATCATCGCTCTCACTTCCCTCCCCTTTCCGCACTACCCGCCCAAACTCATCCACTTGATGCCCTCTGTCTCCTCTGTCCCTTTCCGCCCTCCCCTCCCCGCCACTCCTCCCCTCTTCTTCGCTAATCTCCCCGTCCTTCTCACCCTCCTCTCCCCCCCCCCACTCTCCGCCCGTCCTCGCACCTTCCTCCTCCCCATCTCCCCTTTTCCTTCCCTCTCCTTCTCCCCCCTTCGTTTCCGCGGCAGGCAAGGGGGAATGAGGAGGGCGGGAGGGCGAATCGCTGACTCGTTCGACAGCTGGCCTTAGAAGATCATCCTCCACGTCAGCATCTTCATCCCAGTCGTCCATATTACCATAGTCTACCAACGGCTGCAGCACCATACCCTCCTCCTTGTCGCTCCCATTGGCTGCGTCCGGGCTGTGAGGCAGCGCGGAAGGAGCGGCGGTGCTGTTGCCGGGGGGAACGGCGGGGGGCGGAGGAGCGGGGGACTCGTTAGCGGAGTGAGTGGCGGGAGGAGATGCATCGGATGGTCCGAGAGCCATGGCTGCTGATGCTGCTGCTGCTGCTGCTGCTGTTGCTGCTGCTGCTGCATCATGGTGGGAATAAGGGAGGGCAATGTGGAAGGCGAAGAGGGAAAGTGAGTCGGCAAATGAGAGATTGAGAAGAACTGAGAGGGACAACTAGGGCCGGAAAGCGATACACATCATAATCGACAATAATCTATTGTGGTATTAGCGGGTGGTATTAGCTGGTGGTGATAGCGGGTAATGGATGCTTGATCATGTGGTTGACGCTGTGTTGAAAAAAAAAGGAATGATGGTTGTCGTGATAGTAGGTGGTATACGCTTAGTCAAGTATGATCGATTACTGTCGATGCATGGTTGAAAAGCGACGACGCAAGAGGGACGATCCGTGAATGACGGTGGACGATACCCACCAGATAAACTTGATGAAAGAGAACTAGGCTAAGCTAGACCGAACCAGTACGCCAGTACAGGCAAGCGATCGCTAATTCGAGAAAAATCTAGCGCGAATGGTTGGATGCTATGATCCTTAACTTTTCCTATGCTCCATAATCCCCCTCCCTCCCTCCCCCCTCCCCCCTCCCCCCGATCCTTCGCTTCCCCTTTCCCCTCTACCCCTTCCGCATTCCACCCCGTCCACCCGCTTCAGACCCGTCTCACTTACGCGCCCGCACCATATGCGAGCCATTGAACGAAGCTTGCGTAACAGGACTTCGAGGTCTCACGGGCTCACGGGGACTCTGGGTCCGTGAGAACTCACAGAACCGTCTCTTACTCCTCTCCGCCAAACAGCTTATCTCAAGTCGACCACAAGCCTCACTGAACCGTATCTGTCATCTTCACCTGACATCTATCCTCCACCTGAAACCTCGCAACTATCTTCCACCTGTCATCTGGCATCTTTCGGGTGTGTTTTGAGTCGACTAAAAACACAACCTCACAACTAACTATCTTCCACCTGTCACCTGGCATCTTTCTTCCATCGCGTCCGTAACTTTCCTTCAGTCGTCAGTAACCAGATTCAACAAACCCTGGCACCCAATTCCGCCAATATCGTTCTTACCGTGTAACCTATGATAGAAATCCGCAGCCGATTTGAGTTCTTACGACTCGAAAGGAACAAATTTCTGATTCACAGATCCAAGCGATCCGACGTGCCTTCACGTCCGCACGTCGCGTTGCGCGATTCACGCCGCCAGACAGCAGTTCACAAAGTTGAGCAAATCTGGCGTTCTAAAAACGTAGAGTCGGTAAGCCGCCTGGGCGGCTTGAACGAGCAATAATCGTCACTCCTACATGGGAAAGTGAGTGGTTGGAAGTGGAAGGATTTGTTCATAGCGGAATGGAGTGGTGGTGGTGGTGGTACCACGGCCAGGCAACGGAGCTGGGGCTGGCTTGAGCTGGTGCTGGAGCTGGGGCTAGGCCGGGGACTATTGCGACATTCAATTTCAGCCGTTGGATGGGCCACGGGACTGGCTTGGGGTTTTCCTTGGCCTTGTGGTGGAAAGTTTGTAGCTCTCGTTATAAGCTAAACTCCGTGTAGACTGTAGGAGAGCCATTCGTACACGTGTTCAACTAGAAACGTTTTTCTGTTAAGCTCCCATGTGTTTCCCTAAAATTTCCTGGAAACGGCTTAGGATGCTCCAAAACTTCCAATGTTCACCGCCGTTCACTGGAACAAGCATAAGAAACAATTTCACAAAGGAAATTATAAAATAAAGTACACTTCGTGATGAAAAGCAAGACACAAAACACAGCACATGTAGACCTAGCCTAGCGCATGTGACTAACAAAACTAGTGCTATTGCGGACCCCCCTAACCCAAAGTCCACACAACCGGATCAATCTCCAACCTATCTAGAACTAATGCCACCAGACCATGACACAATACCCACAGCACTATAAAAAGGGTTCTCATTCCATACCATACATCACCTGCATGTGCATACCCACATGATGGTGGTGTACAGTCTCACTAGGACAAGCAGCCATGAGTCAGTAAAGAGGGAGTATAAGCGTGTAGATGGAAAGAATGGTGGTGGTGGTTGTAGGTTGAGGCGGAAGGGGACGAGGCAGAGAAAAGCATAATCAGGAAAAGTGGGAGGTGGGGTTGATTCTCTCTTCTCCATCCATCACCGAGACACCCACACTCCACCCATCTCATGTTCAGCAGCCCTGCCTTCTGCCTGTCCCACCAGCGGCAGCAACAGCAACAGCAGGAGGCATGAACATGGCCCTGCACGCCTCTAACCTGCTCAGTCTCTCCTCCAGAGCTCGCAGCATTGCCATCTCCTCCCCTGCCAACCATCCAGACAAGCCACCAGTCTCCGACCCAGAAGCAGCACCAGAACTTCCCACCTCCGCTGCTGCCTTCCCTGCCCCTCCCACGTCTCCTCCTTCCATCCCTCCAACCGCAATGGAACTTTCAACCACCGCAACGGCATTTTGCACTGCGGCAGCAGCCGCTGCTGAGCTTAGCTTGATTTCACTGGCACCTTCCGCTCTCTCCCTACCGCTTGCTGCTCCTCCCGCATCTCTTCCTGCTCCTGCCACTGCACCTGCGCCCGCTCCCTGCCGGCCCAATGCTGCTCCTGCACCTTTACCCTGACCCGAGCCCAGCAGCCTGAGAACCAAGGGTGACGCTACAGCAGGGGGTGTGTTCGGCACAAGCCAAGAACCTGAAACGCCCCCTCCCCCTCCACCACCATCGCCACCACCGCCAGCACCACCAATACCCGGGCCCCGCGCAGGCCCTCCGCTTGCCCCCGCACCCACCTTCCCTCCGCCCCGTGTCGACCCGCCAACTGCTCCCGCGGCTGCGCCAGACCCCCCTCCTGGCGGAAACAGAGTGCGGCGGAAGCTCCTGGGCGTGCCTGGCTTGCGCGAGCGGGAATTGCGCCCAGGAAGGGGGGAGCAGGGGCGGCTGGGCATGGGGAGCGGTTCGCCCGGAGGCGACGGCGGAATGCTTCCGATTGGTCCGTAGTCCGGCGAATACGAGCCGTCGTCGTCGTCCTCCCCCGCGCTTCCTTCGGAGCCACTGGGGGAGCCGGGACTTGCGGGGACGAGAACGGGAGGTGGCGGGAGAATAGGAACAATTTTTTTCGGCGAGCCTGCTGGTGATCCTGACTGCTGCTGCTGTTTCTGCTGCTGATGGTGATGGTGCTGATGATGTTGATGCTTTTCCTTGCGCGCCCGCAGCTGTTTCAGCTGCTGCTGCAGCTTCTGCTTGTGCTGCTGCTGCTCCTCCTCCTGCCACGCCGCAACAGCACTCGCCGCCGCGTTTGCCGCCGCGTTTGACGCCGCAAGCCCAGCTGCAGCACCAGGCACTTCAGGAACCACTTTCGCGAAAGGACTCTCCTTCTCGCTCCCCGTTAAGTCCGCCCCCTCTTCCGCCAACTTCGCGCCTGCCTTCGCTCCTTCCGGTTCTAACCCCGCCCCAGCCTCCGCAATCATCAGTCCCGCCGCCGCCGCCGCCGCTGCCGCCGCCGCAAGCGCGGCGCTGTTGCAGAGCTCCGAAAGGGGTATTCCCCTTCCTTTCGGCACGAGGGATGTTGACGTGAGTCGCGGGGGACAGGCAACAGACAGCAGCCATGGATGATCAACCACATGCTTCGCTTTCAGCCTGCAGCGCGGGTCGACCGTCAGCATCTGCCGGACGAGGTCGCGAGCTAACGGCGAGACGCTCCGCCAGACGGCCGCTTCGAAGTTGATCGCCCCGCGGAGGATAGACTTTCGCAAGCCCTCGTCGTCGTTGTGCGTCTTACCCGCGAACGGCAGGCGCCCCGTGAGCAACGTGCATAGCACGACGCCCATGGACCATACATCGGCGCGCTTCCCGTACCGCCTCCCGCGCACCATCTCCGGCGCCGTGTAGTACCTGCTTCCTGTAAGCCCCGCCGCGGACTCCCCTGGTGGTAACTCCATCGCCAGCCCGAAATCGGCGAGTTTCGCCACGCCGCCTCGCGCCATCGGCACAGGGGCCGACGAACCGAGGAACCCGAGGTTTAAGTGCCGAATCACAGGCCCCAGTGCCTGACTAGGACTCTGCCCCTTCCCCTGCTCTTGCCCTTGCGCGGAACTTACCGCCGTTCCCTCCGCCTTCCCCTTGCTGTCCGCTCCACTCTGCTCCCTCCCAAGCGCAGGCTGCGGCGTCACCGGGGGGCGTCCCGTAGGCGCGAGCAGAAGCACGTTTTCCGGCTTGATATCCCGATGCATGATGCCCTGCGCGTGGCAATATGCCATGGACGTCGCGAGCTGGCGGAAAATTGCGCGCGCGTCCTCCTCCGCGAACGGCCCGTGCCGCTTAATCTCGTCGAATAAATCCCCGCCGGAACAGAGCTCCATGATTAAGTACACGTGGCCGTCGTCCTCGTACACGTCTTGCAACTCGACGACGTTCGGGTGGCCTGCGAGCCGCGCTAGGAGGCGCACTTCGCGGCGCACGTCCTCCGCGTCGGCGTCGTCGCGCAGCTGCTTCTTGTCGATGATCTTGCACGCGTATTGGAACCCCGTGTGGCGGTTGCGGCACTCGTGCACCACGCCGAACGAGCCTTTCCCGAGCCGCTCGCCCATCTCGTAGTGCGCGAGCGCGCCGTCCGGTGCGGAGGGGAGGACCTTCGGGGCCATCTGGTGGGAATATTTAAATACTATTCCGTTTTCCTGATTGCTGATGTAAACCGTTCGCGAAGGGGCAGTGGCGTGACGTCAGAGCCGTGCTATCAATGGCTCTCCTTCAGATCCTATCTATTCAGGCGAGGGTTAGATAAAACTATCGTGCTGCTCAAAAGATCTGCCGTTCCTTAGGTCTCGCAGCCTCTCACTGACTCTACCCATGAATACGACGTGGAGAATTCGGTACGTCGATGAAGCCTGCTTGAGGATCCCGGAGGAATCCGACTAATTCGTACGTCTCTCCGACATTCGGATTTGTCTGGGACTGTTGGCTGAAATCTCCAGAAAACAAGCACGTCAAGCTGTACGGGGCGCTGTGCTTGTTGAAAGAGACCCTTGCATCATGGGGGGAGATCTGGGTTTCGGGGAGCTCGACAGAAAGCCTGCCCTGCAATCGGCTTGGTTTGTTTGTCCATGGCGTAACTGCTGCTGCTGGATGCGGCGAAGGTTACTGTACATCCGTCCCATCCCACACGCCATCCATCACTGTTTCCCGTTCCTTCGACAATAACACTTCGGGCAGCTGAACTAGGCGGCACTGTCAAGAATGGTATGGGGAGGGTTGACGAACAGAGGCGAAAGGTAATGGTGGATGCGAACTGCAGTAAGAACTGCGGTGATCGGGCACCTCGGGACCGCACTGCATTGAGAACCATAGCGTCAGAAATAGGCGAAGGCTGTTGTGCTGTGGTAACTAGGTCCAGGAAAGCCTCGGGCATGCTGAAAAGTCTTGGTGTCCTCGAATGGATGCGCGGTTCGGTACGAAGGTCGTGATTCTTTCGGGTTTGATGGGATGCCGACTTGATGACATGGCGTCGACTTTAGGGACAATTCCGCATCGCCCCTTGGTTTATGTCGAGCCAGCAGGTAGTCTCACAAGCACAACCTGACACAAATGAAAGTTTCGCGCCCAGGGCATTTTTGGACTTGGAAATCGCGGAGGCGATTCGGTCGGTCCTGCACGTCCACGCTGCAATGACATCATTCGTTAATGTGTCTTTCTTCTTTTGTCGATGTCGCTATACGAGTAGCGACACGTCACGAGGCCTATTCTGGCTCTCTTTTGGTCGGCACCTTGCAAAGTGGCAAACATTGTCATATCAATCTTATCATTGATGTTATCAGTTGTGAAAGAGAGTGCGCAGGTAAACGAATAACGAGGCTGTGATTCAACCAACTGAGAATACAATGAATGTGCAGACTAATGTAGGGCTAGCCTAGCTGGGGGAAAACTCGGACGAGCGCGGTTTGGAGCAGGTTTGGCGATGGGAAATGCCGAAGGCGACGCGAGGAGCCTCGGCAGCGTTGAAATCGGCCGAACGTGCAAAGTCCGAAAATCGGGTTGTACGCGAAGCAGTCAACCCCGATAAGGAATTCGGAAAAATTCCTTACACTCCCCCCCCCCCCTTGTCAGAATGAAGAATGGATGATGCATTGATGTTGGTTGGGGTACATATAGCTAACCCTAAGAGTTGTACCCCCTAAGACAAACCTCACTATAGGCTACAACATTTGACACACCCCCATAGCCTAAGTGAGGGGTGTCTAGCAGAACCAAACGAGTACGGTCACAAGACCAGTCCAAGAAACGAAGCTCAGGGTGGATCACAACGTCACCACATAGTCTGGACACAAACAACAGTGGCCACAAGGCCAGTCCAAGAAGTAACAGAGATATATAGAAAGCAAAGTAAACAGTACACTCAAGTCTAAGCAACACGAGAACCAGTGTCAACAAGGCCTAACTGCACACAGCACCTCTGGTGGTCACAAGGCGGAAGCGCCTTGGTGAAGATGTCTGCAGTGTTGGCCTCGGACTCCACAAACTCAAAGCGAGCATGTCCACGCCTCTGCAACTCTCGCAGAAGAAAGTACCTGACGTGAATGTGCTTCACTCTGCTCTCCAGTCGTGGCTCTCGACAAAGGAGAATAGACGCCTTGTTGTCAGTGAACAAGGTCGGTGCAGAGCTCGGCCGCTCACCAAGGTCGGTGAGCAAGAACGTCAACCAACGCAGCTCCTGTGCCGCCATGGCACCAGCGTAGATCTCAGCCTCAGCTGTAGAGGTCGAGACCGAAGAGGAGCGCGTGGACCGCCAGGAAACAGCTCCAGAACCCAGACTAAAACAGTACCCCTGAGTAGACCTGTGAGTCTCAGCGTCGTCAGCGTAAGAAGAGTCACAGTGACCAGTAAGTACGACAGACTGCTGCCCTCCAAGAACTAGCCCCACGCCTGATGTCGTCGCTAGGTACTTCGCCACCCTCACAGCTGCTGTCCAGTGAACAGGACGGTGTCTCCCTGGCGCAACAAAGCGCGCAAGAACGCTGAGAGGGAAGGCGAGGTCCGGGCGAGTACAAGTCATCAGGTACATGAGGCAACCCACAAGCTCAGCGTAGGGACCACTAGGCTCGAACGGCTCGTCAGGAAAGGGTCCAGTGAGTCTGTGGTCAACAGCAAGAGGTGTGCGCTGTACTGTGGAGTGCTGAAGCCCGAACCGCTGAAGGACCTGCTGCACCATGTGTGACTGTGAAAGTGTAATGGTGCGAGCAGCTCTGTCCCTGGTGATCTGCAGGCCAAGGTAGTGGCGCAGCTCACCAAGGTCAGTGCAGGTGTGTCTCTTCTGCAGTTCGGACTTCACGTGTGCCAAAGCAACCCTGTCAGGGGTGGCGAAAACAAGGTCGTCAACGTAGACCAGAACAAAGAAAGGTGTGGGGCCACGACGAACGAACAGCGACGGGTCAGCAGAAGACGGCTGGAACCCAAGGTCAGACAGGGTAGAACGCAGGGTGTCGTGCCACTCACGAGGAGCCTGACGAAGACCGTAAACCGGTCGCCTCAGCCTCCACTGGGTCCCAGGAGGGAAAGAGCCAGTGAAGGCAGAGGGACGACGCAGCCAGACCTCCTCGTGAAGACTGCCCTGAAGGAAAGCAGTAGAGAAGTCGAGAGAGTGTAACTCGTAGTCTCTCTGTGCTGCTACGTGTAGTAACACCCGAAGAGTGGTCATCTTCGGGGTGGGCGCGAAGGTCTGAAAGAAGTCAACTCCCTCGCGCTGACTGAAACCTCTAGCCACGTAGCGCGCCTTGAAGACCGGGGGAGAACCCGGTGGCCGCTTCACCCTGTAGATCCACATGCCGTCGACTACGTTCGCCCCAAGGGGGGGAACCTCATCGACGTAGGTGCCTGTGGATCTATAGGAGGCCATCTCTGCGTCCATGGCGGCTCTCCACTGAGAGGCCCAAGGCCCTGACACTGCCTCAGCGTAAGTGCGAGGAGTCGGAATGTCAAGGGCGTCGGGGTCACCCTCAGGGGCGAGGAGCATGGCACAGAGATGAGGGGAAGCGGCGGCCAGGAACTCTAGCTCGAACTGCCTGTCCTCTAGGGCGTCACAGCCAAGGGCAGACACACCCCCGACGGCCAGAGGACTGGAAGGAGGAGCAGCCACAAGAGCGGTGGCGAAGTCAAGGCGGCGGGTAGAGGCAAACTCAGTGACTGCGGCAGTAAGAGCGGACACAGAGGACACAGAGGCACGAGGGTGGGTAACAAGAGAGGCGAGAACACGAGAGAGAACAGGACGGTACGTGCGGTAGTAGTCAGTGACAGGAGTAGGAAGCGACGCAGTGAGGGCCGACTCAGGAGGAGACGGAAGCACAGACGGAGACGGACGAGGTGGACGAGAACAAAGGAAGGCTGTACGAAGGTCAGTGAAGGGAACAGGAGATGAGGGACGAGCACGAGGGGAGCGACGAGAGGCCCAAGTCTGAGAAGGAGGAGGAGACAACGAAGACTGAGAACGAGGGAAAACAGCGGGAGAGGGGTCAGGAGGAGGAAGCGGAGGACCAGAGACGGGAGGAGAGGGGGAGGAGGAAGGAGAGGGAGAGGGGAGACCAAGGGTCCGAAGACCCGAGACAGGAGGAGGAGACGGCAGCAGCTGCTGCTGCTGCTGCTGCTGCGGCTGCTGGGGCTGCTGCGGCTGCTGCGGCTGCTGCTGCTCCAGCGGCTGCTGCCCCTGCTGCTGCTCCTGCTGCTGTCGCTCCTGCTCCTCGAGCCGCTGCAACTCTCGCTCCTCTCTCTCCAACTCCAGCTGCTCCTCACGAGCACGGCGAACACGAGCCTGGAACCTGGTCGGGTAGGGGTGGGGGGAAGGAGTAGTGTCCGGGGCAGCGGCAGCCCCAGAGTCGACCTCCGAAGCACCAAGCACACCACCCCCAGAGGCAGCACCAACACCAGCTCCAGACCCAGGCTCTCCAGAAACCGAAGGGACACCCTCACCCCCAGACGCAGCACCCCCAGACTCCGCACCAGCACCCCCAGACTCCGCACGACCAGTACCAGCCCCCGGAAGACAAGAGTCCTCTGCAACCCGCGGCTCAGCTCCAACTCCAGCACCCCCAGAACCAGATTCCTGTACAGGGACAGTCGCAGGACCAACCTCCCGAGAGGGAGCACCTGCAGGAGGCGGCGAGGAAGACTGTGGGGAGGGAGGCTGTACAGGGGGGGCTACCGAAGGGGGAGGGCTAGCCTGAGACACACCAGACGGGGCTGGACCAGGGGGGGGAGGCTGTACCGGGGGAGCAGGCGGGGGAGCGGCGGTCAGGAAGAGAGGGGGGGGAGGGACCGGGAGACCTCGACTGGGGTACCTGACGTAGTAGGGGGTGGACTCCTCGAAACGGACGTCACGGGAGTCAAAGAACCGGTGAGAGGGAGGGTGGTAAAAGGTGAAGTCAGAGGAGTCCTCAGGGAAACCAAGGAAGACACAAGGAACGGCGCGAGGCGAGAGCTTGTCCGCGGAGGTGTCGCGGACAAGAGCCAAGCACCCCCAGACACGAAACCTCGACGCGACACCAGGGGACCCTGTCCAAAGACTGGTCGGTGAAGCCTCCGGCCGAGAGACGCGTGGCCAGAG